ATATATATATATGTGCCATTTCCTTTTTTGAAGGAGATTGTATTCTAATCCTTCTAACTGATTCTACTAATAGTAATTTTTAACTAACCTGTAAAGAGTTTGTCTGATATTTGTGGTATTCGGTATTTGCTTTTAAATCATCTATATCAACATTTGGTAATCCTGAAATCAACAATTCTAATTCTTGTTCATTGAAAATAGAAATTAGGCGCATAGGAATAATATCATAGAATCCTTCCAGAAATGAGTTCAATCTGAAAATGAAGAAATTTTGAGCGTTCAGTGCAACCTTTTGCTTTTCAATATAATAACTTACTGTTGTTTTATGGCACCCGTCATTTTCATTTGGCAAACAAGTCGAACATATTCCATCTTGTTTTCTTCCGTTACAGGAATATGCCTACCGTTTGGTATCAAATCCCTAGTCTCTGTAACACCAAACTCACTAATTTCAGTACTAAATGTCAAATCTAAGCCCAAGTGGTTTATATTGTTCTCCATCAAATAAACTAATCCTCGGTAGAAACTGTAGTCCTCACTCTCCATATCAGTATATTTTACTGGGATGCCCAGAATGTGTTTATAGAAGGAACGGGTGAAATAACATTCTAGTAATTTATTGTCATAGATTGCTTTTGCTAAAAACCGAAGTGTAACTAATTTCGAGAAGCACATTGATTGATGATGATAAATTAAAGATTTGTAAATGAATCAGAATTTAATTAGTTCGATGTTACTTACCTATAACTCGTCCCACGAATTTGTAGTAACAAAGGTGATTCGAATTATAGTGACTCGCCGAGTTGATCATATAAGTTACACGATCTCCGGGTGAAACGGTAAACAGAGCATACATTGGATTGAAAATATCTCTTGAAATGATCACATACCATTCTCTCAGTAGACCACCAGCATCTTGCCCTTCTTCATCTGAAACGTTCATTGAAATATTAATTGTAATATCGAAATTGAAAATGGGATAAGAATTTATGTTTCACCTTCAAATACAATGTAGAAGCGATTTTTCCATTCCTCCGGTGGTCTCCTAAACAATTCTCTGAATGAGTCTTCGAAGATATTACTTCTTCTAACATGTACTGCCGTCTCTTCCCTTCTAATTCCGTGATCCATTCTCTCCAGTTCGGTTCTGAAGTAGCGACGTTTTATATCGAAATCAAGGATCCTAGTGTGATCGACAAGGACTGCAAACGGCCCATCAGCTAAATGTGCGGTACTTTGTCTCAAGATCTGATTCAAAACGGTACGGTGTTTCTCGGCAAAAGCAAGGAATTGTTGTTGTTCCGGTGTCACCGTTGTCTTTGTGCTGGTTTCTGCAACTCTATCTGGTTCTGCGGCATTACTCTCGACTGGTTCCTGTTGTGGTTCACCATCTGAGGGGTTTTGTTCAGGCTGGGGCGCGTTTGAATTGGAAGTTGCTCTTGCATCGTTAGATTGCTCAGATTCGGACTCGTCTTGCATCGATTCTTCTTCGGTTTCTTTGGTTTCCTTGTCTTTTCCTTTTGCCGCACCTTGCTGCGGAGAGTGGACTAGGAAAAACGCTTCGACAGCAGGCTGAAAATTAAGTTTCGATAATTTTAAAAATACTAATATTATAATAGTCGTTTACCTGCAGGACGAGTACGGCATGATGATCCGGAGCATGTTCCAATTCCAAAAGACACTGGCTAAGCGTTTCCCACAAACTTCCAAGACTGCCCAATTGCTCACTTAAGGCAGGTAATTCATAAGCTCCCGAATCAGCTACAAGTAGAAAGGAAATTAAATAAAACCAGTTTAAGATATTATTTCGCAATTCAAGCTACCTCTTTTCATGCTCTGTTTGATGGGGTTCCTTATTTGAACGATAACTCTTAGGACCCTAAGGAAAAACACTTGACTTGATGATTTCGAGGTGAGAGGTACCATAGAAGGCAACTGGAGCTCGCAGGCAGTTTTCACTTTAGTTGAAGCCGTTACCACAACCTGCTCATTGGTGAATCTGTTATAAATTATGCCCTTTGATGTGGACGGTCCTTCTTCTAATTTTCGCTTTTGTGTGTTGCTAATTAGATCTTTCAAGTCTTTAAGCATACTCTGAATTTGGCTCTCTACTATATCACCGATTTCAACGGCACCATTTAGAAGAAGATTTAGTATCTGGAAATTTTTTAAACGACAAATGTATATATAATATATTCAATATAAATGCGTAATATATTGCTTACCATAAAACTCATTTCCAAAGAGGAATTTGCTAAATTAAGCAGCAAATTTGTAATGAACTCGAGCCCTTCTTCTGAACAATTTTTGTAGGTGATAACATTAACGGCCAAGTTCAAGGCGTGCATTGGAGGAGTGTTCGCAGAATTCTCAGAATTCTGGGGTTTACCTTTAACCGATTTATGTGGTTTTACTAGTTCGGGCATTCCAGAAGTTGTTACAGACAATAATTTTAACAAATTGTCTGTCAACTGAGTGTTTCTATTTACCACTGGGGAAGCTAGCAAATTCAACAGTTTGCCAAAAACAGTTTGATCGAATGAAATAACACCATCCGCATCACTAGTCGTACTCGAAGTATTATTCTTCTGTATGCTCTTACCTTTTTTGGTAGCAGAATCCAGACGAAGTAAAACATCCCAGAAATCAGAAGATGTAGTATCGTTTTTAACTTTTACCGGAGTTATCGTATTTTTCTCAGTATCGTCTCGAATGCATTTTATTGGAAGTAAACAAGACGGAAAGGCTTTAGCGAGCGATGTAAATAGATCCAAAGTATTTCTGCAGACGATCGGAGCTGCTTGAGGGTGAATACTGATAACACTTGAACCATTTGATTTGTCACATTTTTTACCAATCGTTTTGTTTACTATAAAAACATTGGCTGCACACCCTAAGGCGGCTTCCATGCGAATGGTGAGCCAGTGACCGCCGTTTTGCAAATGTCTAGCATCCGTTAGTAATTTACTTGTTAAAGGTCCCGGCCTTGGGCCTTTCCTTGAGGGTTTGTTAATATTATCGTCCGGTTGTACATGAACGCTTTTCTCAATAATAGACAATAAAGCATTAATAATCCATTCTCTAGTAGGAGCGTGGTAACATAAGTTACGTATTACTCTATGTAGTCTTAATTTGTTCAAATGGGGATCATCGGTGAAAAGCAATATAAGCAGGCAAGCTATTCCTTCGTGATCTAATAATTGTCGGCCGCGTATTTTCATCTGTGAATTTGAGGGTACCGGAGTACTCCATTGGTTCCAACCTCCTCTAGGGAAGTTACTAGGTCTAAGAGTTTGCCTTCCACGGGAGTGTCTAATTATAGTTGATAGGTTACTTTGTAAAAATCTTTCTTGGGCCATTTGCCTGTTTCTGGCATACCAATCTCTGCGGAGAGTCTGTGCCTCAGCGGCTAAATCGGGTGGCAATGCCGACATTTGAGAATCTTCCATATCAGAGAGTATCTAAAATTTGTATAATCAACATTATCAATGAAAATATATAATTAATATTTGTTGAATTGTTGTTTTACATAACCCAAAACTGATTTGATTAAAATTTCCTTTTATTAAACTGCATACTATACATTTTTATATGTACCGTAACATTTAAATGAAAATATTTATTATTATTGGTATATACAGGTTGTCTACTGTAAGAAGGCCATTCCTATGGATCTAGGAAAAGTACGCAAAGTTCAGGGTCGCCTAACTCTTTTGATTTAAGAGATAGGGATAACTTACATATTTTAATGAAATTTCATGGCAAAATTGATATCTTTCACCTAGTATAAACAGATTTTTAAAGCATTATATGTAATTTGCCGCGTCCTCTAAGCAGGAAAAAAAAATTGTCATCGAAGCAGGCTGCGGGTACAAAAAATTTCTTGTTTTTTCCTCTTCCATGCGATATCCTATATGTTGCCTTTACCTTTTATATTTATTACATTTTTTACAATTTTGGTATAAAAAATGTAAACATTTTCGTGTTAAAGTAACAATTGTTATAGACACGTCAACTACAAAAAATTTAATAAATATAATGTACTTCTTTGAGGCAAAATACAGATTTTCTTTTCACATTACTATAATATTGGTTTTTTACTTTAGACAATGAGAATAGGTGAGGCATATTTATTGATTGTCTAAAAAGAACAAATTAAAGCGCCATAGGCAAAAATTTCAAATTTTCAAGGTCAAATGGCTTAAAACGAATCAGGAAATTTTTAGTTGCATTTGCAATATTACCGAAAAACTGACGTTCGCGAGAAGGATTTTCATTTAAATTTTATAAAAAATAGAAACACAATTAAACACGGTATACAGAAAAGTTTTTTTAAACAAACACTTCCACCAAACCACTTATACTCCGAATACCATTCATTCCGAAAATTCCGAACGTACACTTCGTCTTTTGACTTCCCCCTTTTTTCCACATCGAGAGAAGGGACAGGTCCCTTACAATTTAGAAAATCCTTTTTGTTCCCAATTTTCCACCTGGAAAATGGCGTTTCCAACAAAATACATAATGAATTATTCATAGGAAACATTTTTACAATTATTCATACAAAACAAATATATAACCGTTATAATCGTGCACCGGGCGACGTATCATATAAACTGTTTAAAGGGAGGCGATAGGTGATACTGCTTCAATTTCCGAGTCTTTTGTTCCCCCACATCATAGTTGCCTCACGTGTTGGCCGTTTCGTTGCCATGACAAACGCCGTAAACAACGTTATGAAGTGAAGTAGAATACATGAATACAAACTGATTTCGATCCACGTTTCTTGCTTATGCTATACATTGTAGGATAGGCATGGCATGTTTAAAACAATTTCTACATTTTTGATGCCAAAATTATAAAAAAAATATAATAAATATAAAAGATAAAGGCGACATGTAGTTCATCGCATGAAAGAGGAAACAATCAATTTTTTTGCATCTATAGTCTGCTTTTTTTTTGTCTGTGTACAGGGCGCAGCAAATTACATACGATACTTCAAAAAATTGTTTATACCATGTGAAAGATATTAATTTTGCCATGAAATTTTATTATAATAAATCTTCTCTATCTCCTAAAATAAAAAAGCTAGATGGCCCTACGACACTTTTCAAGTTTTTTTTTTTTTGATTACTCATAAAGTTGGATCTCAAATTTGTTTTTGCGAGCACGAAGGCCTCAAAAAATGTAACAAAAACATATAAAGATTTTTTGACGTGCATCGTGTATTAAGGGGGTGAGCCATTTAACACTCCCGCTGCCAATATCTCCGAAATGAAGAAATTTATTGTAGTTCCGGAAACTAGGGCTGTTAGGTCCCTCGAATAGCTTCAAATTGTAGTTAGAACCCTTAGTACAAATCTTTCTGTATAGATGGCGTGGTAATACTAAAAAATTTTTTGATCCCTGGAGCGTGGAAATGCAGTCCATTTGAAAGATCGTTAAATTTTGAGTAATTTTATAGATTAATAGATTCCGAAGATATAAACAAAAAATTATTTTTTTTTTAACAGACCTATGTTTATAAGGCAAACTCCTATTATTTTAAAGAGATCTATCTGTCCTCGAAGTTTCCTGCATAAAATTCGGACCACCCTGTATACACCACCTACTAACAAACAATAAATTATAAAAAATAACAAATGATCAACTACAGAAAAAAAATTGTACAATGGTAAATCTTATAACTAGTATCGTTAAATTGAAAGATGCAAACTGATAAAACTGTAATTATTGAAAAATAATATGTGTCATCTATCATATATGTTTTATTTCAAACAAATGGCATGAGCCACCTATGACTGCATTTTTTAATAACATTTGATAAGATAGGGTTCGTCTCTGCCCCATTTAAGTATTACCATTGTACAATTTTTTTTCTGTAGTCGATGATTCGTTTTTTTTTATAATTTATTGTTTGTTAGTATGTGATGTGAATAAAGCCATTATAATAATATTTTAAAAGAATATTTTGTCTCAGCGTGATTTAAATAAAATAACAGATTTTCCCGTTACGTCATACATTGCATATTGAAGTATAGGGAAAAACTTTATATCACAAAAATTACTCAGAATTTAACGATCTTTCAGATGGACTGCAGTTCCAGGTCCCAGGGATCAAAAAATTTTTTAGTATCGTCGCGCCATCTACACAGAAAGATTTGAACTAACAGTTCTAACTAAAATTTGAAGCTATTCTAGGAACCTAATAACCCCAATTTCCAGAACTAAAATAAATTGCATAATTTCGGAAATATTAGCAGCGGGAGTGTTACATGGCGCACCCTGTATATATATATAATCGAATTTTGAATGGGGACTGTTTTTTTTTTTTAAATTCATAATACATTTTATTTTCATAATTTTCATATCCCAGCGTAACCTCAAATGCCGTAAGCTGGCCGCATACGCGACTTACTGCACGCATTAAGTTTTTTTTATATTACATCTACCACATTCAGTTCTCTAACTCCAGAAATGTAATCCATACATGACTTAGATATTTAAAACAAAACGTCAAATAATAAGGATATTCGACATATTCGGCCATTTTGCCCACCTAGCGCCCTGTTGAATGACAACTTAAAAAGAGTACATGCACTTAACGTTACATGAAGGATTACATCCATCCAAATATGTTTATTATCATTATTAAAAGTAAAAATTGAGCAGACGTTCGGTTCTCTTTTCAAAGTTACTCACCATTGTTCTTAACGAAGGCTGCAAAGTTTCAAAGAAAGCCCCGGCATCCACAGGTTCATTAGGATTTGCCCTTGCTGCAGCTTGTCGTTGTTGTTCGAGTCTCTGTTGAGTTAACACTTCTTCTTGTAACGCCGGAGGTAGAGCCGCCAAGAACTCTGGACTAACTTCATTTGAAGCGTTCGCCTGTTCTTGCTGTTCATTATTTGCAGAACTGGCAGCGCTCGCTGCAATACGTTGTTGAAGACATAATATTCTATGCTGTTCCAATACTTCCCTGCGCATTTCCGGAGGTAACGCCTCTAAGAATGAAGGATCTACACCTTCCGGGATTTCTTCGTCTGTGTTTATAGTACTCGGACCAGCTTCACCGGGTGCGTCGCTGTTAGACGCTTCGCCATTACCTTCGGCACTAGCTGGTGCTTCACTATCACCTTCACCGTGGCTGGTTCCGGCCGACGCCTGCGTACGAGATGAGTCTCTATCGTTATTTGTTAATGAATCAATATGCTGGTTAATTGCTTCCTCGAAAATAGCTCTGAGAGGATTTGTGGACTGTGTATATCGTATGAGATCTTGGTTACTTTGGGTTTCGTTGATTTCATTGTCTTCCTGGTCACGATCGCCACTTGATTGTAGCGGTGGGGAACTGACGGGTCGCGCGAATATTATATTAGGTCTTGTTGATCTGATATATGCTGGGAGGGACATTTCAAAAGGATTGGATGATTCGCTATCAGTTCTTATTTCCGATTCTGCTCTGCTGTTCGAGTCATCTGTGTTCCTAGTTATATTTTCTGAAGCTTCAGTGGTTTGCACTGCAGCGTTATGTGTTGCTTCAGATATGCTGCTCTGAGAGTTTTCGTTTGAGCCTCTGACAAAGCTCAATTGGAGTGGGGATAGAATAATATCTTCGTTCTGAGTATTCCCTTCAGATCTGTCATTGGATGTGTCCGATGTTTCTAAAGGAATGCCGTCAATGTCTTCGTCGTCTACTATAAAGAGAGAAATATTCAGAGTGATGCGGCATTTATTGAATAAAATTTGTCGTTGTTTAGAGAAATGACACAGTACCTTCTCTGGAAGCAGGTTCTGCAGAAACATCTGCTGGAGGAATTGGGACACCATCAATATCTTCATCGTCTATAAAAACAAAGGCACAAATACACTTTAATTTTGTCATACTTTTCACGGTAGAAACTCACCTTCTTTATTTTGTTGCTCCCCTGGGCCAGAGTTAGGATCATCGTAATTAAACAAAACAGTTTCTTGGCTAAATTCATCCTGGATCTCAGGATCGCTTTTCTGTTTCCTCTTTTTAGAATTCTCCTCGTCTTCTTTTAACTTCTTATTACGTAGTTCTTCATTTCTGTACTTTATCAAATCGGGAATAAGCTGATTACAGACATACGTCGTGCAATCATAAACAGATTCCAAATCCAACAACTTTGACTCAATATTCCACCAATGTAAGACAGGCGGAACGTGACTTAAGGTAGCGGCCAAACTTGGACCGAAAAGATAACCGGACTGATCGACAAAATCTATCTGTTCTTCATTTGCTGGAATTATACCAAAATTATCCATTACGACAACCCTGGCTGACTCACGAATTTCAGTAGGTCCGCTCAAGAGATTATTAGCTGACATCATGTTAGCCATGTGGGGATCATGTGGACCTAAAAGTCTATATAATTTTTTGTTAATGATCGAATACGATTGATAATTGTATTGTACCTTTGCAATATAACTGGAGGATTTGGATTCCTGGGGCTGAACAAATATTGATAGCGCCTAGCTCGATTTGTTCTTTGGTTACGTGATACGGTGCTCTGGTTTGTCTCCGTATTATTGCGGGACATCAGAAGGGGATGTGTAATAGCTACTAGAATATAAATAAATATTAACTTTGCAAATGCTGGAAATTAAAATGCTATTCAATATATATACAGAGTGACCCATTTCAAAGCGGGCCATCCTTATAACATTTTTATTTAAGGAGCGATTTTGACGAAATTTTTTGAAATCTGGAGAGCGGAAAGGTGTATTTTGAAGCCAGACGGCGTCCAGTATTTTTTAAAATTAAGGCCTACTAGATCACATCCAAAGGCTGAAAAATCCAGAATCTATATTAGCGATTTTTTTAGAAAAAATCTGCGTACGTCACTGGATTCGGCGTCCCCTGAAATGGATCTGTACCAAATTCCATAAAAAAATATTCAACATTAACGATTCTACGGCTAAATTGCTGTCAAGTTGTTTATTATGCATTAAGAAGTTTTTTATCTAGCAACCCATGCGATAACAAATCAGTCACAATATTTAATAACAACAAGTTTATTAGATTCGTACAACCAACGCAAAAGAACTACGCGAAAAAATAAGACTGGCATGCACTGAAATTACACCACATCAATTGTCTGCCGTGGCATACATTGAAAGACGATACCATAAATGCGTTCAATTAAATGGAAATTTAGTTGAAAAATACAGAATTTAAAGTTAATTCATGTGTTAATTTAATTTTATTTTATTGTTTTTTATAAATTTTATGTTTGTGTTTGTTTCATTGTATTTTGATATAAGGATGTCTATTAAATATTGTTATTAAATATTTGTTGTGATTGATTTGTTATCGCATGGGTTACTAGATAAAAAGCTTTTTGATGCATAAATAAACAATTCGAGTGCAATTTAGCCATAGAATCGTTAATGTTGAATATTTTTTCATAAAATTTGGTACAGATCCATTTCAGGGGACTCCGAATCCAGTGGCGTACGCAGATTTTTTCTAAAAAAATCGCTAATATAGATTCTGGATTTTTCAGCCTTTGAATGTGATCCAGTAGGCCTTAGTTTTAAAAAAATACTGGACGCCGCTTGGCCTCAAAACACACCTTTCCGCCCCCCACATTTTAAAAAAAACTTCGTCAAAATCGCTGCATAAATAAAAATGTTATGCGGGTGGCCCGCTTTCAAATGGGTCACTCTGTATATATAATATATATATAGAAAAACCTTGCCGTTCGCAGGCGATAGGTTCCAGAAGATTACCGCGAAGCGTAAATCCGTGATGCGCAAGTCATTATGTTAGTGGCTAAGGCAAGAAAGAGTAAAATACAGTATTCAAATAAAATGATTACCTGTGTGATCATTTGGATTGTTCTCGTCCAGGATGGGTACAGCAAAACCATTTTCATTCCACCGAATCATCCTGGGTAAAGCATTATCGTTATCGGCATCATATTGAATCATTAGAATATCTTCATCTCTGTCATTTGTAGCAATTCGGAACATTCCGGAACTGCTTTCTAGTAATTCAGAACCTAGATTAAAAACAAAATAAATAAATAAATAAACAAGTTACCTATTCGTCTTTCTCGATCGTTGTTATCGTCATCGTCATAATTGTTATCTTCGTTTTCTTCGGTATCATCGATATTGTCGTCATCTCCCTCATTATCATCATTGCCTTCATCATCAACTTGATCAGAAGGATTAGAATCTGATTCCCCGGAATCTGTGCTCATCAATTCTTCCTGTAAATCAAACTAATATTATTAGATAGAATACAGTAAAAGTAAAGAAATGTTATTACCGTAGCGTCACGCTCGTGATCATATCCAATAGTACCGTCTTCATCGATGTCCATGGTATTGTTTCTGCTCGACGGGACATCGTTGTAACCTTGACTGTTGTCATTATTTCTTTGCTCCAGGATCTCCATCATCTCTTCTAGTGTGTTATCCAGTTCTCCAGTTCCAACAGCATTGTTTTCTAAACTGGAAGCTACGGCTGATATATCGTGATCTGTATTTTCTGCATCTTCTATGTCTTCCCCTTGAGCATTTGTACCTTCGGTAGAAGTACCACTTTGTGCTCCAGTAGTCTCTTCATTGGATTGTTGACTTTTTCTATTCTTGGTCTGACTACCACTTGGAGTGGGTTGATTGATGGTTCTAGACAACGATTCCAATGGTTTCAATGCAGCATTTGCAGTAAAAGACGTATTTGGTGAAGACAGATCAAGGTAGTGCGTTATTTTAGCTAGATCGCTGAATACGCCACGTCTTATCATGAGTTTTACTATGTTATTAATACTGCAACTGGTCCATCTATTGGCATGAGGAAGAGGACAATTGTCGATCATGGTAGAGATAATTCCACAGATGTGTTGTACTTGGTTATGTTTTTCAGATGATTCAGGAAGATACAATGCCCTAGTAAGTGCAACCTTTACTTCTGATACTAATGTTATCTGTGCTTCTGGAGAATGGTTCGAGGATGCTAACGCTGCTATTAACATTCTGCACATTGTGGAACAATCAGAATCGGATATGTTTTCTGTGGCTGGTAAGATTTTATCGAAAATAAATGCTAGTGCAGAAGTGTCTTCTGTAATGATATTTGAACACTCAGCTTTGTACTTATATTCCGTAATGAGTTTAGCTATAGGACCAAATGACACTACGGCATCTGCTAAAATCTTTAAAATAACCGATTTAGGTAACATTGGTTTTTTGGTAGAGACTTGACTCTTTTTGTTCTCAGCAGAAGTGTTTTCTTCCCCATTTTCGGTATTCGATGTGCGCGCACTTGTAGAAGGAGGTGATTCTTCATCGTCTACATTAATACCTTGGCTTTCCGAGTCACTCTTGGGCTGTTCCGTTTCAGACGTTTCATCTTCAAGGGGCTTTAAGAGGGCATCAAGTAAATCACAGACAACTTCTATTGAAATTGAATCTTCTAATGGCGGAGCCTTATTACGGGTGGGCGGTTCTACTTTCAAGGGTAGAGTTGTTTCAGCAGGTTCGCCTTTAGTGGCATTTATATCAACTCTCAAAATATTACTAGCTACTTCATCAAAAGCTTCTGGATCACGGGTTATAGCGCCGCCAATTTGACGAGTTAAATAAATCAAGTCCTTGTATGGGGGAGGGATGGTAGCTAGGGTCCTACCTCTTACTACTTTTTCCATTGCGTATTTCAAGGTGTTGGGTTCTTCTAATGCATGTCTGATTAATATTGTAGCCAAAATGCCGAACCCTCCAAAATCGTTGATCTGTCTCATTTTTAGTAAGCATTTAACCCCTCCATTTTCAACGAAAACTTTGGCCATTTCAAAGTCTCTTGTAAAACGTACGCAAATTTGGAGAGCGGAATGTAAGAGGTCTTTATCTATAGGGAGCTGCATGAGTCTAACACATGCCCTTACTATTTCTCTCGTCTGATTTTGAGTCAAACCTGGCACAGGTACACATCTCTTTTCTTCTTTTTCAGTTAGATCCGCATATCGTGGTTCCTCTGGTACTGGTACATTGACGTCAGTACAACTAGGATGGGTCAACGACATCAGTGTCATTGTTATAGGTCTATTATTTCCAGTCTCATCGTTCATTTGTAGCATGTTAGCGAAGGTAACGGTATATCTTTTCCTACCACAAGTGACTCGAATACTCTGTTCACCGTTCCAGTAAGCTTCATTGATGAGTTTGTTGTTGCTATTGGAATAATGTGCCCATTTACCGGTAACTAAGTCATACCATCTCCATACACGATTGGTACTCATGTGCATTTTGAATTTTCTATCGGTGCAAATCGCAACTTTTGACACTGCATCAAGTAAAAGAAAACTGGGTGCAAGCCATTTAGGTTCCGAGGTGACTTCTAATCCAATCATCATTCTAATAGAGCAACACATTAATTCTATAAGCGGTTCTAATAATTTTGCCCTATGTATAGCATATCCACATGGTATTTTCATTTCAAAATAGGAAGACACCTCAAAGAAAAGGATGTAGAGATGAATATAATTTGTCAAGCGTTTAGCTATTTGCGACTCTGCAATTGTATAATAGCTTATAATGTTAGCTTCATATGTGTACGAACAGAAAGAGATGGCCTCTACGCATTCATAAATTTTTCCAATCAATGTGTCCAACAAATTATCTCGGTAGGCTCGGCCATTCCTCTTCATGATGGTAACAAGTAATTCGCAAACTTTATGAACCGTTTCGGGTATGACTTCCAATAATTTCAAGCATACATCTAGAGCGTGATTGGTAAACTCGTTGATCAAATTTTCAAATGATTTGCCTTGTTCTTCCAGAGATTCTTTCTTAGTGTCAACTGGTGTAGGAGTGCAGCCAAGAGATATTGCAATTGCTTGTAAAACTTGATCATCTTCTGATTCAACTTCCATAGAATTCCCAGCCGAACGTATCAAATGAGGAGGATTAGACAAAAGATAATCCGTAGCTTGTTCCAAGGTGGATGAATGTAAAAGAGCTTCGATAGCATGTTCTCGGGAGAAACCCATATCAATTAACTGTCTTAAGTTGTCATCCGTATCTCGGATTGCTGGTGTACTGGAAGGTCCTGCGTTGGAATTTCCAGAGTTATCACTTTTATTTTCATCGGACCGCAATTTTTCTTTGATAATTTTTTCTCCTCGAAATATATGACGGAGAATGGTCAATAAGGTTTCCGTCATTCTAGCTCCGTATGATGGCAAAGGTGTCTTTCCCCAAAACAACATGACACTTTCAAAAGCCAGTCTGTGGATCTGTATCAAATATTTTAAGGGATCAAAGTTGTAGCTGTGTGATGGACGACTTGAAATTGTATGAGGGGATTCTAGTATAGCTTTGGGGTTAACCATTTTTTCCAAGAGGGTCAACCAAGCATCGAGAAAACCAAGGGTACCTGAACAACATTAAAGAAATATGGTGACAAACAGAAGAATGTATGTATTTAAAATTTCAAAAAAAAAAAAAACACTAAGAGGTAACTGAAAGTTTAATATCTTAAATCAAGAGATAACTTTTTTCTTTTTTGTAGTAATTATATTCCGAGTCTTAGCATATGTATAAGAATATAAAATACCAAATAACAGAAGAATGTATGTATTTAAAATTTCAAAAAAAAAAAAACACTAAGAGGTCACTGAAAGTTTAATATCTTAAATCAAGAGATAACTATTTTCTTTTTTGTAGTAATTATATTCCAAGTCTTAGTATATGTATAAGAATATAAAATACCAAATATTACTTACCTTCGGGAAGCACGGAATATTCGATCCCCTCATCTGCACTTAGATTTCCAGCATTCAAAGCCCATCTGAATGTCTTGAAAAATATGGCTTGACCACCAAGGCTAACAAATTTCTTCAACATAAGATGATATGGATAGCGTCTTTCATCAAATAGCATCGGGCTTGTGAACCCAACGCTGCATATTAAGAAGGTAAGTCTACACTTTGCTGTAGGACATGGCGGTAATCTATCACAATCTAAACCTTCAGCCAGCAAAATATTCAAAGCCGTTGCCACATTTCTTGCATATAGCGAAGGCATGGGAGGTGCTGCAACAATATTTTGACCTCTTCTTTGGCGAATGGGTGAACCGACACATAACTTCACTAGCAAACCGAACAGTTCGGCAAGTGCTCTGCCTAGTCTTGATGAGGCTCCCAATAGAGGTTTAATGTATTTCAAGTTACGATTGTCTTGTCTGTTAATGGCGGCACCCGTTTCGCTGTCAACATCCATCGAAATTGGAGGCGGATTAGTGCTTAATGCTTCCATGGCAGAAGCAACATTTCCAGTTGTATCCGACGTTGAATTTCCTTCACACTGTAAAATTTGGAAAACAACGTATGTAATTTATTTAAAGGGGCAAATTTAAATAATATAATTATTAAACTTTCTTATTATACCGGGTGATTCAGTTTGATATTCGCGGCCTCGTATCTCTTTTATTTTAACAAATACCTATGACAAACCCTATATATTTTCAACTCTATCAAATGACATTATTAGATCGTCTCCATGGTAACATATGTCAAAATTGCTATAGTCAACTGTTTTTGTTCAAATGGCACACTATATATTATTTTATCAATTCTGGAAGATATTTTTTTCTGCGTGCATATCATTTGATAGAGTTTGAGTGGGGGACTTAAAAATATATAGGGTTTGTTATAGCTACATATTTGTTAAAATAAAAGAGATACGGGGCCGCGAAAACCAAACTGAATCGCCCGGTTTATAAATTTTCTAAGAATCAAATTGATATTTACCCTGTCAAAAAAGGCGTTCAGCTTTTCTATGTCCTCTCTAGTGAAATCACAATCTGAAGGGATTAAATCGTCGCTACAATATGCCAAAAGTAAAGTGCTTTCCCAGACCAAGGAAGTGTAAAGATCAGCTAAGCCCTTTAGAACTTCAAGCCCTTCTTCTGAACCCCAATGTTGTAGCGACAGGTTCCTGATTTCCGTTTGACCAGTTCGACATATGTGGACGAACATTATAACGTAACCGTGTGCAGCGCCCATGGCGTGTAAAAGCGGAGTATCTGTAGCTGTACTAAATGCAGTCTCTATGTCCGAGGCATTTGCTAGTTCTAAAAGGAGTTTTGAACCTCCAGGCCCCTCTTGTTTTGCATACAACGGTTTTAACTGACTTAAAACAGCTCCCAATTGAGAGAGTCCTTCTCTGAACAATACTGGTTCATGCGCAAGGTTTAAAATGCTTTTGCAGACTGTGGCGACTGCTTGTGCAGGATTAGTCACTGGACAGTCAACTGGCAAGTTTCGCAATCCAAGGATTTTCAATAAGGGCTTCAACCCCCCCTTTTCAACAAATTCTCTGCAATGATCATCAGTTGAATTGTTGCTTAGTATAGCATCTATAAATTTCATTGCGTTAAGTATATAGTCGATCAAGGCAATCGGCGTCCTTTCACTGTTGGACTGAGCCTGAGACTCAGCTTGTGCATTTTGTGAAGACGTTGATGTTTCGTCTTCATCTTCTTCTTCCTCGTCAGATGACCCTTCAGCGTTAGTTGTAGATCTTGAATTATTCGATGGTGAAACTTCAGATTTACTGTGTGGCCTCCAACAGATGTATTTTGGATTAGTTCCTAAATAGACGAGTTCTTCGAGCAGATTAATGATGGCCAGCGTAGCATCTTGTCTAAGACTAGGTTGATGGCGCATTAATTCATCCATTGCATTACCCAAGTTGCATGCTGTGTCTGCGGTAGGCTCCGAACTACGTCTTCTCCTCATAGCTGGCAAATAATTTGGAGATAAAAGTATATTGAATAATTTCTCAAATGGTTTACATTTAGCAAACGACTCTAGACCACGTGTATTCAAACACAAAGCGCTGAAGACATTTGGTAAAGATCCAAGGACTTCTCTAGTGGAAGGAACTTCTTTTACCAACAAAGAATGCAAAACTACATCCGTCAGTCCATTGTCTTGTAAAGCGGATAGTAGAGCGGGTTCTTGATATACATATACTGTCACAACATCGGTAGCTAACAGAAATAAGGACGGACCATAATACTCGGCGTTAGCTATTATATTTTTTAATGAATTAGGAAGAGTTCCTTCCATAAGGTGTCTAATACTTTCAGCAAATGTAGAATCTTGGAAGGCCTTTTTTAAGAAGTTTAACATGGACTTAAGGAGAGCTGCACGTTGCGGAAGACAAGTTTTTCCAGCATTTTCCGATACAAATTCCAGATCTACGGAAGTTACATGTTCCTCTTCATTTTCTCCTCCTGTTGATGGGCCTGCTGCATTTTCATCAAATGTCTGCTCTGAAGTGTTCATCTTAATTTGATACAACTGATCCTTTTTACAAAAATTTACTTCAACCTGTAAACAAATTTATATTAAAGCAAAAATTAATCATACAATTCCTGCAAAGTGTTCATGGCATAACTTCTTTAATTGTATATTTCATTAAAATATAAATGAAACACTTACATCCAATCTGTTAATGAAACTTTGAAGACCACCGTGTACTTGGAAAGCTTGCATATCAATATTAGTGATTAAATCAATAACACGTACGGCACGAGTGACAAACTGAAATAATAGAAATTTAAAAATTTAAAATAATGTTTTAATTAACATACAGTTATGTGATCCAGTTCAAATCCTTGCCAATTTATTACTTGAAGAAGGGACTCCATCATACCACAAGAAACTAAGGCTTCTCCCCCAGACTCGTAACTTGCTAGGTGATACAGGAATGAAAATAATGCCGTGGTCAAGCTAACAGGAAATTTAGAATCTCCTGAACCGTTGTTAGCATTAACGGCCTCGATATCAAAGTCCATGCCAGCCGATTCCAAATGTGAAGCTTCTTGGGCATTACAAAAATCTGTTTTACTAGACTCATTACTGGATTCATCAAAAGATGATGATGATATCTCATCTTGGAGTTTCATTTTCTTGAAGGCACTGTGGCCAAAGTCAACTTGGTTTGTTAGCGATGATATACAATTCCTCACTAAAACTGGCAAAAAACCATGATATTGACTTGCACCCGTTACATCTATTATATTGTTCAGTCTCGATCCAGGTCTCCTACTACAAATTAAAATCCAATTTAACTAAATGAAACATATATAAAAAAAAAATCTTACTTGGGGACATGTGGATTTCTATCCAGGTGTATAATAGCAGTTAATGTGCGTAAAGCAGCACATCTAATGTCCGTTAGCTGTGGATCCTGCAGTTCTACTACTTCTACTAACTCTTCTAGAAGACCATTGTACAAAAGGTTAGAAGGTGAATCTTGAATTGCATTAGAATAAACAAGTACAGACAAAGCCTGCAGTCTTGCTTGAACACTTTTCAATCTGTTGCGATAATCAGCAAAGTGGGTGGCTAACCTCACATGAGTAAATAACCACATCTTTAATGAACAAAAATAAAAATAACATAATTAAAATAAAAAATAAACAGAACATACCGACTAAAAATTGTAACCTACCTCTTTTTCTGGAGGTACATAGTAGAGGCTAACTAGTGATTTCATAATCTCCGCAGGTGTTTTGTGAAGTTTATCAATATGTTCAATGTGAATTATGTGGAGACTCGGTTTTCCAATTTTTGGTTCTCCTGTCCTAGGGTCTCGTTTTGGTGATTTTGTCTCATCTTCTCTATGAAATTCTACGTGCAATGTGGTTGCGGAAGCAGGAATATCTTTGTCTGCTTGGCAGCAGTCGGCTAATCCAAATCCATTTTCTTTACCACCCCAATTCTGAAATATATATAGTTTATTCAGGCTACAGGAAAAACACCATGAAAAGAAAACTTACCTCTGCTAAATACTGCAAACGTGAAAGCAGGCACTCTTTTTCATCAGGTTTTAGTCGGGTAATAAAGTTGCTTCTTTTAGAAAACATATACAATAAATTTAATACTTCTAAAACAACCGACATGTCATTTGATTCCAAAAGGACTAACAAGTGTTCCATAGAATTATACAGGTGTCGAGAAAATGAGTGTTCTATCAATAAACTGGTGAATCTGAGAATACATATTAGCAGTTGAAAGTCCTGAAATAAAAGAAGAACCATACATGCCACACATTTCTCTCTCTCTCTATATATATATATTTATTGTTCTTTTATTTATTAAATTAAATAATTAAAAATTAATATTTTTTAGAAAATAATGCCGAGTAATTTAAAAAAATTTTAAAAAAGGACTATGCACACACTTAATGGAAATCGGCAGCCCATCAAATTATCTGAAAATGAAATATGTTATACTTTCAGATGCGCCCTCATCAAAAGTTGTCATAAGTCCAAGACCCAAAATGAATACTTATAGATAAGTGACATTAAAAGTGAGCGAGTCCCATCACACTTATATACAGGGTCGGAAAGTCCCCATGGTTCATCGGCCGTTACGTGAGAGCGATAAAAAAAGTCATAGAAATCCATGCGATAGAGAAAGATGGCTATAATGAAGGCGTCTAATAGTCACCGCCCATTTCGCCCTTCCACAAATAAGATCCACTTCTTATTTGTGGAAGGGCGAAATGGGGGGTGATTATTAGACGCCTTCATTATAGCCATCCTTCTCTATCGCACGGATTTCTATGACTTACTTTATCGCTCTCACGTAACGGCCGATGAACCATGGGGACCTTCCGACCCTGTATAGTCTCTTTCACTGAAAGTCGTATGGCACTTCTCTATGTATCTCTTTCTTCAATAAGGCGACTTCGTATGTATCACCTTCCTCTCGAAACAAAGAGAAGGAATAAAAAAGCAGCCATAAAGTAAAAAAATAAACATGCGTATAATAAAAATGGGCCATAAAAGAATAAGGGGGTTGCCGATTTCCATTAACTGTGTGCACGGTCCTTTCACAATATTCACAACATATCGTCGTCAATCAGACAAAGGGACGTAAGTACCAAAAGTGCAATTTGAATAATTTCTCAGAAAAACAATACAGTAGAACCTCGATTATCCGTGCGGCGGATTCATAGTAGAATGAGATGTATTCACTGTCCATGTGCAGATTACCTGACGCGGGACGACAAAATCTCTGATTGTTTGTCGCATATGTATTGTTTACGTAAGTAGTCTAGCATTTGGTTCGTGCACATGCACAAAATTATTGATTTTTTTCCACTGAATTCTACATTTTAACATCTTGTTGTATATACAATGCACCTAACGTTTGTACCTGTGCAATTAGGTATCTACATATACACATATCAATTATTTTATTTTTTATTGTATGTATGTATGTATACCACATACATACATAATATACATTTATACATACTTACCTATCGCTTTCTCGACTGGATATAAAAATTAATCTTCGTATTACATATGTACAGGCTGGTCCATTTTCGATGGGATTTCAGGGTATCTCAGAAACTACTAAAGATATGATAAATCTGACACCACGTTTCTCGTTATTGTCACACTTTTGAACATGTCTGTATCTCAGCTGTTAAATGAGTTAGAGTTAAAGTGAAAACTGCTCAAGACTAATTCTTTGGTGTAGAATTGAATGCTGGTATTAGATTTTTAGTAGGTCTTAAGATTCAGGAGTTATGACCCAAAGTTATATTTTTTTTAATGGAAATCATAGCTGGTCATGACCTAAAAAAATGGAGATTTTTTTTGCTTTTCAGCAATATATCACATGCTATAGTTATTTTTCCAAACACAGAAGAAACAGGGTGTTTTATATATAAATTCGATCCTTTTTTACATTTTAATATGGCTGGCTATGAAAATACATACAAAACTATAATTCTTACTTTTACAAAACTCATATCCGTTGTAAAAATATGACGTTTATTTAAAATATTTATTACAGATAAGGAAAGACAGTTTTCAAATTTTTATTCCACTTCAACTGAAGTTACAATATTAAACATAAATTAAACAATAGTAAGAACCTACATCAATAAAAACTTTCAAAAATGATAGCTAAATGTTCAAATTGCCATCTCTCAACTGTCACACATTTCACGCATCTTCCGGCAACGCTTCGGGTGGCATTCATTAAATGTATATTTGAAATATTATTAAAAGGAATTTTAAATATAATGTCTTTTAGAAAACCCCAAAGGAAAAAGTCCAACGGACTCAAGCCAGGTAACCTAGCTGGCCATCTGATCGGTCCGTTTGTTTCTATCCACATAACTCCTAAAATTTCGTTAGTATTATATTAACACACGATATGTTGTGCATTTAAAATAAATGTCATATTTTTACAACAGATATGACTTTTGTAAAAGTAAGAATTGTAGTTTTATCTGTATTTTCATAGCTGGTCATATTAAAAAGGAAAAAAATATATAATTTATATATAAAACACCCCGTATCTCCCGTGTTTGTAAAAATAACTATAGCATGTGATATATTGCTAAAAAGCAAAAAAAAATCTCTATTTTTTTAGGCAGTGGTCACCTACGATTTCCATTTAAAAAATATAACTTAGGGTCATAACTCTGAAATCTTAAGATCTACTAAAAATCTAATACCGGCATTCAATTATACGCTAAAGAATTAGTCTTGAGCAGTTTTCACTTTAACTCTAACTTATTTAACAGCTGAGATACAGACATGTTAAACAATGAGACAGTAAGTAACGAGAAACGCCCTGTAACTTGGAAACAAATAAAGATAGCAAATTTTTTATCTGACAGTCGAGTTTGCCATGAAAATCGAGCTCGAGAACGTCGTGTCAGATTTATCATATCTTTAGTAGTTTCTGAAATACCCTGAATTCCCATCGAAAATGAACCAGCCTGTACATATGTATGTGTAACAAAGTTCATACGAGCAAGTTTGAGCATTATTTCGATTAACCGCGTTTTCGAATATCCAGAAACGGTCGGGTCCCGGCCAACTGAGATTATCGAGGTTCTACTGTATAAAGAAAAATCATTACAAGCGACTTTTTTTGTGGTATGTATGCTGGATATCGTAGTACTAACTATATATCAATATAGGTGAATATATATGCTTTTATTACCCTATTACCTACCTGTTTTATTTTAAAAAATTCTTTTAAAATTAAACTATCTGTCCAATAATGCTGCACAAGCCATCAAAAAATGGAGTATAAAAAAATAGAGGGTGAAATAAAGAGCGACTGCCCCTACATTATCCCCATGTTTTCAATGCATTTTATTGATATTCACTTCAAAACATGGCTATTTATTAGCTTTGGTCGTGTGTAAATTTGAAAAAAATATCTTCAGACATTTAGGAGAAATTTGTATTTTTACTTTTTTTTTGTTTCAATTTTAAGGGGCTGTAACTCGTTAGGGGTGCATTTTAGTATCTAGGTAAATTAGTTCAAACAGTCTATTTTGACCTCTAGTACAAGGTTATATACATATAATTTGATTTTTATGTTAACAAAATTACTAACACATTTATTAGTCAAGCCTGTATGACACAATACTAATTTTTCTATAAAAATTTAGTGTTTTCTTTTCAAATTTACAGTTTGAAAACAATTAAATTTTATAAAAGTCAACTCTTTAGCTTTCTTCTGATAGTGAGCAGTTATTTGTATTAGAAACATGGGCAGTTGCTTTAAAAATATGTAAAATATTTGTCAAATCAAATAACAAAGGTCAGGTTTTTGTTAACTTTTTAATTACTAAAAAAAATATATTTGATAGTAACACAGAATGCGTCAAAAATGCATGGAAAACTTCTTGCAGCTTGCAGTGAAACAATAACCTATAATAATCGTATTTCTTTGTTGTGAACTGATTAACATATAATCAAAAATGTTTGCAGAAAATATTATTAAATTAAAATAGAGCAGGCCCCATTTTATTTTATCAGAATGAACCATTATTTGCTACTTAGTGAATAATTTTTTTAATAAAGTCATATAGGCTTCAATGAACATGCTTTAAAATGTTCTACAATAAATCCTAATATGAATCAGAATTGATTGTCACATTAGAAGAAAATTTATCTCATTCTGAATGATTTATAGATTAAAAACATTGATAAAACTAGCAATACAAGAATTAATTTGTAACAAAGGTACTTATTAAAAAAATTCTACTATTTATAAGCATTACGTCATTAAATAAACCAAAAAAATTAACTTACCTGTTCATTATATGTATCACACTTAAGAACCCATTTGTTATCATCGCTTCTTTCAGCAGCTGTTCCTAAAATTCTATCAAACACATCGAGAACTTGGGCCCAATGCAATAATTCACACTTTCCGAAAGTCCAGGAATGGATCCTAGACAATTCATCCAAAAGTTCAGTTCGGGAACATTGTTGAAGGCGCTCAATGAGCTGTTGACATTCTAAAGGTACTTCTGATGTGCTTTTACGCACTCTTGATCTGTCTATTTTCATTTTACTGTTGAGTTTTTATGGCTTACTTCATATTTATAACAGCAATGATAAAATCAGCTAAAAGGAAACATGTATAAATAAACAAACACTAGTTATACTCACTATTATCATTTATAAGAACCGTGAACGAATAATTTGATCAGTATGAATTCATTTGAGTTCTAGAAAATGTAACAAATATAGAATTGTTTTTTTAATGTGCAGTACACAAAATATTTGCTTAGTCACCACTTCTCTGTTGCCATCATATAATATAGAAATATATGAAGTTTAAGGTTACCATTGCAGTTAACGGCTGGATCGATTACGGAAAAATTAAAGAAAAATTGATAATGTACCATGGATTGCATAAAAATCATACAGATTTGTACGTACGTACGCTCAATCGGCCATATTGGAAAACAGAATTGACAAAACAAATATTAAGACAATTGCTGACAACAAAATACAAAAACTAAACAAAGGCATAATTATATCGAACTTACAAGTTTTTATGTTGCTTCTCTAAATACACAAAACTGATGTAAAGCTTCAAATTTCATTGATTGATGTTATTGTTTTGAGATAAATATTTAGCGACTTACTAGGACCGCACCACTGTTTCGTGATTTTATATAACTAACGGTCCTTTGTGTTTCATGTGGTCCTAAAATATTATGTGGTGGAACATAGTACATCGGACAAAACACTTAAAAGTAAAACACACTAAGGCACCGAACACTACTAAAAAAACGTATAATATTTAATTTAACAAAATATTTTGATAATCTAGAAATATGCACACTTTCCAGCGTAGATACTTCAGAAACTGTCACAAAGTACCAACATAACCAAACAAAAGTATCGTCGTGTGACGTGTGACTTAAGTTATAAAAATAGCTACCAGCAGCAGCACTGTCACAGAACAGAAATTTAAGCCATTTTTTATGTTGCAATTCAAAACTATGAAATATTTAATTAGTAATGAACTCAATCATGACGACGTGCACAACAATACCGTCTATATTTTCACTCACTAAAATAATACATTTGCGAAATATTCATATAAATTCAATTAACTGCAACCAGCAATATAATACGAGACGTAATTAATACGTATCTATTTATAAACGGCATCTGTTCATTTACTGGGTTTAGTTATATTCAGTTATATTCATAATTGAAATGAGATGGATTTTGTCTGTGAATCTAAATAAATACTAAATGTATCATTAATTGAACTTTTTATCAAATAGCTATTGACATATGTAAGGTATACGTATATACTCGTAGTAATGGGTTATGGACTGAGGAACAAAAAGTGTATTCTAGTACTTAATGTCATCAATTTTTAAATTCATAAACATACGGAAAATATATTTATTAATGTTAACTACAGTGGCGGCTCTTGACTTCCATAACAGAGCGGAAATATTTAAGTACAAAGTTTTGAAAAAAAAAAATCAAATATAATTGGGTAGTTTTATATTAAGTAGATACTATTGAAATCTAGGGAAAAAGTTTGGTTATTTCTCACACCATTGATTTTTCAATACATAGCATTGCAAGTACTGAGTCTGTCTTTACAATCTAATTTAAATTTTTACAATCTTTTAAAAAACACAAGAAACAATGCCTACCTAGGTAGGTAACAAAATTTTACACCACACGTAAATAAATTACTTTTAATAAGAAAAGAAAGTGGTGAACAGCTATTATTTGGTTAAGGACGAAATAAACAGAGAAAGAGAAATATGAAATATGCGCTACTCCCACTCTGTCTTTCACTGCTGCGCGACGGACCGACGGTAACCATGAGTATTGAGTAGTGTACCATGTCCATAGCCGTAAACACTTCACAGATGTACGGATGAGTACGAGGAGCCCACGTATTCAGAGTTTTGCAAACGAATTTTGCAAGTCGAGTTAAATTTACTGCATATTTCAAATTTAACTATATATAGTAGGATCATATTCGATGCAAAGTAATAAATCATTGGCTGACAAGGGAACCAATGCAGTACGCTTTTAAGGGTTTTAGAAATTGAATAATTTCTTTATACATTATGAAGGGACGAAGGGATCAGTTCACGTCTGGCACCTTTGTTCCTACAAAAATTCCTTTATTCTCATAAACTATTTATTTTAAAAGTAATTTATTATAAATCCAATTTGTTTTTTAAATTCCACATATGTACTACATTTTACCTCTGTACGCGCCACTGTTGTTTACTTGTTTTTTGGAGGCGCTCTCTAATTGACGGCAAAGCTCGCCAGGTTAGTATTTGACGTGTAACCGACCACTTCGTACACTCGATGCACCTGGGCGACTACAGCTACTACCGGAACACAGTGCGTATGCAGCGGTATTTCAGATTTTACATTCAATTTCATTTTAAATTTGAATAGTTCATCTTACGCCTCCTAAAAATGATGACACGATTTTTCTTTGATAAAAGACCGACAACTTTTTGCTCTACTTTGCATCGAATACGATCCTACTATAGATAAGATTATAAACTAAATTTTTTTATTATGAAAATTTCTAGGGGGCGGCGCCTCAAAGCCCGCCCGTACCAGCTGCCACTGGTTATAACTATACAAAGAATGCGAATAATAAAAACTAAAGCTTTCATCATGCATTGTTAATATGGTAATAGGTATTGACTCGAATGTATTTGTAACTTGTTTCATATCCTTGGGAGTAATTTTTAAAAATTACTGTTAAATATACAGGGTGTTCCAGAATAACGTGTACAACTGAAGACCACATATTTGTGGACTCTAAATAGACAGATCTAGGGTAATTCACCTACATCTGAAATCGCTTAGTTTGGCCTCTAGATGGCCTCAGTTAGTGAAAATTTTTTTAATGAGTGTTTACGACGATAAGATATACCACCTGTTATTTCATTTTTCGATATGGATACACAAACATACGACGAATTAGAGTTATTTACAATGTGACTAATTTTATTCAAATAATTAGAAAAAACAATCAAATTGATAGCATTATTATTGGCTCTGTACCCAACAGTGGGGAATTTTATTTAGAATTTTTCCAAAACACTTTACCCGGGTTATTGGAAGGTGTGCCGTTTTTACTCAGAGCTAACATGTGGTTTATGCATGATGGAGCTCCACCATATTTCACTGTAAATGTCCCGACACTATCTGAAGTCTGAACCACATATCTGAACCAAAGATTCCCTCGTCGATGGATCGGTAGAAGGGATAACGCTCCTGTTAACTGTCCTGTTCGTTCACCAGACTTAACACCTTCCGACTATTATCTTTGGGGCAATCTGAAAATAACAGTGTATGCTTCCACATCTAACACTGAAGAAGAGTTGTGGAGGCATAACCAAATTGCCATAAATGTTTTAAAAAATTGTCCTCGAGAACTGCAAATGGTGACCTTTAACTTTCATCGATGAATTAACCTTTATTGTAGAAACAACGGCGATCATTTTGAACAGTTTTTAAATAAGTTATACTAAATTTAATAACATCAATTTTGTTACTTTTATCTCCAGCATTTTTTATTGTATTTGATTGTTTTTATTAATTATCTCAATAAAATTAGGCATGTTGTAAATAACTCTAATTCATCGTATGTGTGTGTATCCATATCGAAAAATGAAGTAACATGTGGTATATCTTATCATAGTAAACACTCATCGAGAATTGGCAGGTACAATGACAATGACTTAAAGATCAAACTGAAATTACAGTCAACTTACAAAGTCAGTGCCTACTAGCACTTTGTTAAGTAATGCAATATGGGTGGCAAGACTGGCAAGACAATGTAGAATTTTATAAAATATTTTTTTGTACCCAAACCGCTCATTTAATCAAAATTCTACAAGAGGACCAAAATCTTCCAAATGGTATCACTTATGAAATTAAAAATAGTTATCATTATTGTGCGAAAGAGGAAAAAGTTATGAACGGATATTATGACCACACATCAATTTTGTAGGAGTTGTAAGTTTTAAAAAACGCTCTGTATAACACCAAAATGTATAGATCAATAGCAAAAGTTGACACCCTAAAAATAATCAAAATCGATTAATAGGTATTCGAGTTATTTACGAAATTCAAAAAATTTTCACTAACTTTGAGGCCATCTAGCGATTTCGGATATAGGTGAATTAGCCTAAATCTGCCTATTTTGAGTCCACGAATCTGTGGTCTTCCGCTGTACACGTTATTCTGGGATACCCTGTATGTTGATGTTCGCCAAACAGTAATGGCTCTGGAAAAGCATGCATATTAAAATTTTATTATATGATGTTACAAATCAGTATAGATGAATCTCATTAGAAAACAGTAATATCGGCATTTCATATATACAATTATATACAAGAGTATTTGGAATATACACTAGTTGGTAAGTAGGTAGTACATTTTAACCCCTCCTACAGAAGAGAATACCGCTAGCTGTTCGTACTTTTTAACTGTTGTAGTATGGTCGTTAGTACCGAAGCAAAGTGCACGGTGAAAGTAGTACTGAACGGCGTACCTGTTGCTCTTATATTGTGTGTGTGTTTGTTAATATAAGTGTGAAAACAATCATCTGCTCACGATCACATTCAAAGGAATTACGGTCTGCTTCTCCAAATCTCTACTACTCGAAGGGATTAAACATACTGTAAATTTTTATGAAGTTTACTACACTCGTGTAAGAATTAATAAATGTTTATGTTTTTACTTATGAACTTATTTTAGCAATAATATGAGATCTATGAAATGCTAAACTAACTGAAACGGATTGTATTCTTTAATATCTTATTCTTATTCTAAATGGTATAAATTATGTATTACTGCGGCAACATTAATATATTATTATCATCTGATATACGTTGTTAAAAAAAATTGGATCAGTAGTTCCTCCCTGCTGGTTCGCACATTAAAAAAGCCATAATCAGTCGAATATACATACATTTAATTTTGAATATTTTAAAAATTCAAATTCATAAAATTTACTTCACAGTTTGACGTTTCATCAAATTTACAATTTACAGACAGTACCTATCCACCTGATTTAATTTGATTTAATAGTTTATTCGGTAATTCAGACCTCAAACATGTTTTTGAAAAGTTTCTCGCTATCTTCCTTTCTTTGCCCACAGTTTGATGTAAGTTATTGAAATTCTGTTGATTTTACTTAAAAAACTTTTGAAAATTAACATTTACAGTGCGAGTTACTTATATTTAAATATTAATATAAGTACAATCTGAACATTTTTATATTGAAAAAATAGATAAATCTTTTATTAACTACTAATAAAATAAGGAATACTTATTTAACGACATAATAAGCTATAAAAATAAATCAAACTGGAGAAAAGCTTTCAACTTTTCTATCAATAAAATGTTATGTTACTTTCTAATTACTAACTCAAATATTTTTATTTATGCATTTTAACAAAGAAGCTTTAATGGCATAAGTTTAGTTGTATTGCTTTTAAGTATTTATACAAAAATAGGCGGACATACATAAATAATGCGTAGTTGGGAAATATTTGAAAACCTACGCCTCAGTTCAAGGACTTAATTTTTTCGTGGATGCTATTCCTGGTTTCTAGTATTAGACAGAAAATTATCATTTAAATTTTGAGGTACACGTCATATTTACCTTTCTACTTGCCACAAAAATATCTCGGCTCCTTGTTAATTTTTTTATTAAATATTTTCAAAATAAATTTTTATAGCATATCATTGTTTAGAACGAATAAAAATACACTAAAGGAATGAACAAATATTATCTAAGCCGGGGTTTTTTTATATACACTTGTCAAATAATGAAGTTCCAGAGATACCGAAATCAGTACCTACACAAAATATCTGATCTTATTCGAAACCGCCCATGTTTCTAATCACTTTTTTTTTTAATGTAGCGCCCTGAATACATGTTAAACTATTAATATAACTATTTTTTGATTATCATTTTTGCTGCAGCAGGTATCAAATCTGTGGCACCGAATACTTACCTACCAAGATTGAAATTTATCACCCTGTACATACATATTTTCTTCTTATATACTAAATATATTTTTAGTCTAACTCGTATCACAATTTAGTGCATTTTATAATTATCTCTTTTACGGTAAGCTGGGTACATCTCCGTTAATAATACAAATTCCAATTTCATTTTACATTGGACTTGTAACAGTTATGGATCAACCACAAATCCAAAATAGTTTTCAACGAATAGTCGTAACAAATCGAATTTAATAACAAGGTATATACCTACCTATAATATGAGTTAGCTTCCCTATCAACTTTCCAATTTACAATTAGCAACCTACATTAGTTTTAAAGTTATAATAAAATTTTGCATTACATTAATTTAAATAGCGTTAATACTAGCTGCAAATGTTGTTTACAACAATCCCTACAATTTACATTAAAATGTGGGAAAAGTTAAAAAATTATATAGGTAGAATAATAATAATAATAATAATAATAATAATAATAATAATAATAGGGATAATAATATAGTCTCGTAAGTATAGATTAAATATAAAATAGTGTAGAGCAGATTTGTAAATTATAAAAATACTAAAGTATTTAATAGGTATGTATTTAATTAAATATTACCGGTAAATTGCGGGATAACTTAGTAGGCAATTGATTAAATTCTTTTCTGACCACTAACTAGTTCTGAATTCTGATTATTAGTGCAGATTATAATAAGCGTGGAAGGATTTCTATTTGAAAATTTATTAAATACCTATACTATATAGGGAGTGATTCGAAATAATTCTGATGTGTGTACATTGTACAAGATATTCCGTTCATCAATGTTTGAATTTTGGGAGCATTGAGTAGATTTAAATGTTATGACTAAAAACACAGAAGTGGCAAAGTAAATGTTTATTTGTTCCTAATTTACTGTTTTTTTTAGTATTAAAATTTATGCTCCTAGAATTTGCATATTATACGAAATTATACGAAACACCTTGTATTACATGAAAAATATAAAATATTTTTTATTTCTCACCCAAGACCATCAAAATTTCGTGACTATTTGACACAACGGCAAATAAATATTACATGAGGACAGGGAAAGGTCGGTTTTCAGTTTATTTAAAAAATAAAGTGGTAGAGATTTCAGAGAGCATGAGATCGTTGGCCAACAGAGAACAATTAAGAAACGATACCATGTGGGTATATGATGCAAATTGAAATAAAAATGTCAAGCGAGTATTCCCACGTAATGTAATACGAAACGAGAAAAGTTACACCAGATTTTGATTGTTTTCTTGGTAATAAAAGAACGATCTCGCTCTCATTCAATCTCGAATAATAGAAACTGAAAAAAAAAATGTATCGATTTTGCTATTTTTTAATTTATATTATTTTTCCGGGACAAATTTTTATACTTACACCCACACAGTTATTAGTAATAGTTATTGTTCCTTAATCATACTTATTTATATTTTTATCATAAAACCGATTTTTTATTTGTTGATTTTTATTGTATCACGATAATCAGGTACCTAATTATTTGTTCGTAAAATATAAAAAGATAATGTGAAATAAACAATAATTCAAGTAATATGGATATAAGGAAAAACTGATTAAAAATATCGGTAGGACATTTAATAATATACTGTTTAGTAGGCGTATTGGATTTAATGTTAAATAAAAATGGAAAATGTAAAAACCTGTTTTGTATGACCTAATCGGTAAATAAAATGAAAAGCAAGCATCATGAGTACCATATAAGGAAGTTGTCCCTGTATTAGCAACAAACTTGTAAGAAGCAATATATTGCTTAATTCAAATAAAAAACTAAATGTGAATTAGAATAATTCGGAATATTCATTCACATAAATTATACCTGTTTTAATTCAGAAAACAGCCTTGTTACTGACATTTAACTTACCCAGATGATCTTTTAATATACATAAATTCAGGATGAATAGTTTTGCATTTGCCTCGTTTATCGAAATTCTTATCTAGTTATATACAATCTAACAACTACCTATATACAGTTTTGTTATGGTTACATGGTTTTTAAAAGTATGCCTTGACTTTTTGTTTTGAAACAGTTGCGTCGCTTGTAATACCCATGTGGGTAACGTAAATTTTTGAAATATAATGGTTTTACAGTTTTTTGTGCACCAAAACAGTTCAATATACCTACTTAATGAATTTTTATTCATTATTTTTCAATCAACAATCAATCTATTGTAAAACTTTCCACATAACATGTAAATCTTTACGTTGCTATTTATACTAATCCCTTTCATTAAATTCCTAATTAAATTTCTCCTATACGGCATACAATAAAAATGCAAATTTGGCTCTGAATGTACTGTATATATCTATTTTAATCACAAATCATATAATATTTACTTTATTGGTGAAAAAAAAAAAAAAAAAATTAAATACCAGGTCTAAAGACTAATTTCTTTTTAAATTAAACTTGTATCTAACGGTTTATTATTTTTTGCAATACTGATACATTGCTAAATATAGGTACCCTTTATCAGAATTGAATACAATAATCACGTAATATTAACGAAGTGAAACTTGAGGTAAAAAAATGACGATCATCAGAGTATCCATTCCAATCCCATGTCAGATCCTTAGCTCAAGAGTCATTTATAATAACGTCTTATTTGCTCTTAACAAAAATGCTTTAATAAAATGTAAACAAATTTCTATAAGCTATTTCACTTCTCATCGTATATGATCAAATATTTCTGTCTCGTTTTGTAAGGTAAAAGGCATGCCGAGTAAATTAGAGAAAGTCAATTTCAGTACGAGAACCTTGAGACATCGTTTTCTTTATCGTCTTCCATTATGTTGATAAATGTTACATATATTAAGGAATTCAAAGTGCCTGTCAAGATTCAATGAAATTAACTTAATTTCTTCCCGAATCCACTACAAGAAATTAATGATAGCCTAAAAATATGAAAATGTTAATAATTTAATAAAAAAAATTGTATAAACAGCTATTATATAATTTGGAGAATAGAGTTATATTAAGAAATTTGCAAAATTTGCCTGTCTGTAGTAGTAAAATACAAAAGATAGATTTTAAAATTGGTATATTTAATAAATATGTACGTAGTAAAACAACAAAACTTTTTTTATAATATAGATACTGAATTTATACTGATACTGAACATTTCTTAACAGTACATCATTTTTCACTGAAAATCATGAATTATTAGAGTGGATTGACTTTCACTTAAATTACAAACAAACGTTTTTAAAACAAACGTTTTTGCTGTTAAAATAATTCGGGTGTATTTTGAAGAAAACGGAAACTAGCCTTTCTTTACTATGCACAACTAGTGCATTCATTCATAATGTAATATAACCGAGTCTAGCAAATACTCTAAAAATACGTTAAATAATTTAGCTACCTACATTATTATTTGTCTGATATTTACGTATAGCCGTGTTAACAGCGCCGGATTTAGGCATAGGCAGACTAGGCACTGCCTATAGGCATAAAAGTAATTAGTTACTCATATAAATAAAATTAAAAAAAAAAATTAAGTTAAGTTAGTAAGTTAGGTAACCCTCCTACAGGCCTACACCTATTAGACGAAATTTTTCAAAATTATGGATAATAATTTTGCAAATGACATTGACTTCCAATTATTCTTTCCCCAAATTTTATCTAAACAAATTGAAATCTAAACTCTGGACGTATAGAAAACGATTTATTAAAACAACTTTCATTTGATGATATTATCGCTGATTTTGCTGATAAGAAAGTTCGAAAAACATTATTGTAAATTATGTAATAATAAGTGTTAAATAACTTGTAACAAAAATTTTACCAAATTATATAGATTAATTATAATTTAAATTCAAATATAAAAACTTTTTTTAAGTATCAATTAATTAATCAATAAGTAATCAATCAAAAGTATTATTATTATTTTAGTACTAAAATTCATTATTATGCACTACACTTTATAATTAAATTAGTGGGAAAAATATTCACNAGTATCAATTAATTAATCAATAAGTAATCAATCAAAAGTATTATTATTATTTTAGTACTAAAATTCATTATTATGCACTACACTTTTTAAATAAATTTGTAAATTTTTGTTCCTAGAGAAAATAAAATTTAATTTTCTTTGCAATGTTTAAATTATTCCTTTGAAAACAAGACAGATTATTTATTTAATAAATTCGAGAGAAAATCTTGAAAGAGACGCATAAAAAATAATGTTTTTTTCCCGTAACTAGGCCCTCACCAAATTTCTGCCTATAGGCCTCACAAGCGTAAATATGGCGCTGCGTGTTAACCTGCTAAGGCAAATAAATAATAAAAGTGAAAATAAAGAAACTTTAATATGGCAGGCAGATGAATAGTAATCATGGTGATAATTAAAGAGAAGATATGTTTCGGCAACTTTCATTATTTAACCGGAAAGACCACACCTCATGAGAAAGTACCCGTCCATTCGGTTATGGGATGAATATTTTTAAATATCCGACCAGATTGGTTTTCGATATTTCACCATTTTATTCGATAGAATAACAGAAATATAGACTGAGTAAAAATTCCTCGGTAAAAATTGTAAAAATAAAGAAAAAAAGATACAGACCTGAAACATTATTAACTATAATGAAATACATATTTATATTCTTGTCGGTATTTTAATATGCAACCTTGTATTTTTTCTAAATCGGTCAAGATAATCGCAAGTTAATCTTTGAATATAGTTTTAACACACCTTTACGTAAGGTAATTTCAATATACTTACGAATACTTCAAATCGTCCATGACTTTTACTTAAACTAACAAAATAGTTTTAAAATAAGGGCACCTCTACATTTCTTTACATTTTCTTTTGATGACGAAGAAAACGAAATATGTAATACTCTATAATAATACTATATGAATACGTATTTCTTCTTCGAAAACCACTCAATTTTTAAGATGGGACACTCCGTATATACATATAATAATATTTTTGGGGGATTTCACTTTCTCTTGAAAACCACTCGTATAACGTTCCTACTTCTTACAGAATATGTGTCAACATTCGTTTCTAGAGGACATCATCAGTAATGGGCAACATCGGAAGTCAAACTGGGCATATTAGCCAGCGAACCCCGACTGAAGAAAAATGGGCCCATTCCTTTCCGAGAACACAACCACCAAGAATTAACCACCAACATAAGGTACTTCCCGATAGAGATGCTCGACAGAAGCTACGGCCCACTAACAATGGCGAAATCTTACATTCTGGAGGCACTTTGTCCGGAAGACAAAACAGAGTACCCCCGGAAAGAGCTGTATGCTTATGAAAAGGCTTTGATTTTTTTCTAACTAATCCTGTTTTAGAATACAAACGGGTATAAAGAGCATAGTCCCACGCTTCGGTCATACTACTCCAACGAACGAGATCCTCTCCATAAATCAAGGCCACAAGCCGCACACCGGTCTAATCAAAATTTTACTAGTCAAAAAACCCTTCATGAACAGGTACAGGCAAAATTTTAATTACAATTTAATAAATTTCAACCGCAAATTTCTTACAGATGAAATCGTTTGCGTCGGAACCAGACCTTAGGTACACCTCTCCAATGGTACAAGGAATGAAAGAAAGAAAGGCGAAGAAAAAATATAAGGCACCTGCACCACCTCAAAATTACACGGCGGTAAGTCTGTGGAATTACTTTTCTAGATTTAAAAAAAAATCTCATATTTATATCACAATTTTTCCTACAGAATGATAAATTAGATTGGGAAGAAAATTCTAGCGATACCGATTTCCCTATGAGGAAAGCTCGTCTATTTAAAACCAGAGCTGAAACAAAAAAGAATTCTAGTCATGTACATAAATTTTCGAGCATGGAATATACCGAAAATCCTAACAGTAAGTTTAAATTTGAGGCATTTACAAATCTTCGACCAAATAGGCTGTCACTACCAGAATTGAAACTTGCTACTTCTGATGAATTTCAAAAAGAGTTGAAAGAAGCTACGAAACGCTTGAGAGACATACAAATAGAAAATAAGAGTACTACAAAACATGAACCAAATGAAACGAAAAAACACGTTACCAATAAAGAAAAACTAAAAACTTTAGATCACAATGTAAATAACGCTGAAAACGTTAGGAAAAAGCTCAAGGCAATCGACGATAATAAAAACATAATTAACTTCATACGAGGGGAAGCATCTGGTAAAGAATCCTCTACTTCTAATACGTCTCCTAATTTGATTGCTAAAGACATATCAGGAAGAGACCAACCTAAAACTTTCTATTTTGGTATGGACGAATCACTCAGGAATAACAACATTATCCACGATATCAAAACGAATCTCCATCAAATAAATAATATAACAAATTCGTCTGAATCCGATATATCAAGTGATATAGATTCAGATGAAAATCATGTGTCTAAAATTGATATTAACTTACAATTACGTCCGATTTTACCAAAAAAGCAATTAGAAATACCTAGATTTTCACCAGCTGTCGCATGGAGATTACTATCATCTATGGAAATCGATGACACTGTTGCTACGGTAGCTAGTGATGACGTACCAGTTTTTGTAGAAGAACACATTGAAAAATATTCCAGACCACTACCCCCATCGGTAGAAGTTGGACCTAGATCGAGCAATGACAAATCAGGAGATTCAGGTATATCCGGAGATGACGCGATTCCAGCTGCGTGTTACGACGACAATGCGGAAAGTGGCATTGCTTTCCCTGGACCCGTAAATATACTGAAATTATTTATTTATTTGTATTTACTATAATTATGTTATAATTTTAGACGACTTCATATTTAGCAAAACAGGAGAGGGTATCGTGGACACCACAACAAGATCTAGGCGATGACTCTAGCATGGAAGAATGTATCAATAACAAATCCATTTTAAATAATTCAAAATCGACCCACTCCGGACCCCACCTGTTCAGTTTGTCTTTACCTAGAGATAACCAGCTAGCAGCTTACATAATAGAAAAGTCAAATCCTCATTATAGTGGTTTAGAAAGGTTGAAGAGGTCGGTTTCAGGTGTTTTGAATAACTTGTCGAATAAAAAGGATATCGTACAAGCTCACTTGACGGACGAAGAAAGTGTTAATTGGTTTTTGAGCAAATCTGCCCCCAATTCCCTAAGTAACGGATTTCATTCCTTAGAAGTGCGAAAATCTAAAGATTCCGATCAAATCTATCCGTCTGTAGCAAATAAGGCTTCTAGCAGAGTGATGTACTTACCAGAAATAGATACCAATCAAGGAAGGGATAACATCAAACCTAACATCGAGGAGGATAAGACGATAATACGCAATACGGACAACTTTGGCAAGTTTAAACTGTCCGTATATTCAAAATCCTGTGAAGATATAACCACAGAAATCATAGATCGACCTGAAGTATTTCAAAATACACCAGTAATAGACGAGCACAGATGGAAATCAAATAATAAATCGAAGAAATTCACCTTCCAAAGTACCATTCGACAAATAGAAAAGAAAAGGCTGTCCGATAAATTTTCGCGAGAGGCTGAGAGAAGGGAAAAGAAAAGGCTTAGGGAGCTTGAAGCGATGCAGAAGGTCGAGGAGGAGTTTCAAAAAAAGAGAGCAAGGTGAATGGTGTGTACCTTATTATGTTTAAATCTGACAAATTTTATTTCCAGAGAAAAAGCTACTATTCGACAACAACTAAGGCTGTATTGCATGGACGAGAATCCGGTTTGGTCCAGTTTACCTCCCAATTTGGAAATCAAAGACGAAGTAATTATTTTTCCCGCTACCGTACAATCATGGGCGTAGGTAGAATTTTTGCTTTGGGTGGGCCTTGAGGGGCCAGCTGGTCAGCCGGCTAGTCCGACCAAAAATATGATATTATTGGATCGGATTTTTTTTCTGGGGAAGCCACCGGGCTCTCTAAAGGGGGGCGGGGGATTTGCGTGCACACCGCTGCCCCCCCCCCCCCCCCCCCCCGCCTTTCTACAATAAACGAATTGATTTGTTTTTTGATATTTCAGGTAAGACCCGAACCTGACGGAGCAATATCTTCATCTACCACGTCTTCTCCTTTGCCAATAACGAAATCTAACGATAAGAAGCATTTTCAAAAATATAAAAGTGTGGAAGTAAAAAATGGTGAGGGTAAAGCTAGACCTATTGCCACTAGAGAACTATCTGAGTACCGACAGACACAAAGAGACTATAAAGAATACCGAGGAAGTACGAAATATACTAGTGACGGTAGATACCATACCACTGTGCACCCTCAAATTACGTGTAATATGCCAAAGGCTACAGGTACGAAAACACTCTTAATATACATAATTTATAGGAGAAATATATAATATAACCATCCGCCGATTTTCAGGAACTACAGCGACAGGAGGTAACTACAGGAAAGGTTTCACGCATGGCATCAAAAGTACAATGTCCGGTGAAAGTACATTTTCCGAAGACTCGCAAAATAACTCGCAAATGTATTACAACAAATACGCTCCTATCACCAGGTAGATTGAGTAATAAATTACAGTGTTCCTTGACCAGTACAAGAAAACATGTTTCAGGTTTTAACCCACCAAGATATATTCATATAGATTAAGTACAATACTGTATATTTGTGAAATATTTAACCCTTATAATATATAGATGACGTTCATTCACTGTAGAGTTTTTTTTATGTTTTTTTGTATATAATAAATACTATGTATTGTTTCATTTGTATTGCATTGAAACCCTAAACAAAAGAAAAATACTTGCGTAAAACTGATTTTTTGAGTAAATATTTGTAGTTATTTTTCGAATGTCCTTATACAATTTTTGACTTATAAAACCCAACATATTATTCTAAGGATGTCGTAATCAAAACGACGAAGCGTCGACAGTGTTTTTTTTTTAGAGACCTATATATAAACATTGGTATAAGTAATTCCTATTCTTATTCAATTCTTAATCTCATAAACTTAACGCAATTTTACACGGGATACCTATAATATAAATAAAAAAAGTAAGGGACGTTATTTAAAATAATGTTAAAAAATAAGGCAATGTGAGACAAGATTATAGTTTTCAATATCGACTCAGGAATGGCGTCGGCGCACACAGAAAATCCCGAATCCAAATTAGATTCGGCCGACTCGGGGTGTGTACTACAGCCAAAACGCCACCGGTTGTGACTCGAACCTTAACCATACAATTATAATCCAATTAACATGTAAAGTAGGTCGTACATTTGATAAGGAGTGCTTATGGTATACATATCATACGCACATCGTCCTTAAAAACCCGGGAAAATGGTCAATAACCCACTTTTAACTATCGCGAGATTGACCTAGTAGGTAGTGTACATACAGAAGTGAGTGAATATGTTGTGCAAAGATCAAAATGTACTGCTAAAGTCCTGCGGGAGAACTCTTGCAGTTTTTCTCTTACTGATGCAAGTTTTGCCTGTGTTTCTGGAACAAGACGAAGATATCCCACATAATGAGTAAGTGCATAATACATCTCCGCTGTTTTACCCTCTTAGGCGGCCGCCGTTTACTACCCCCACTAACTTATTTCTTGCCATTACTTTTGTCGTATATTCTAACAACATTAACGATATCTGCAGATTATTTTAAAAAGTGTACCTATTTAACTTTACTGAAAACTATTATTGGGGTATTACAACAATGGAAATGCTATACTACTACTAGAAATACATGACAATAATACTAAATATTTAGTATTTGTTTAGGATAAATGACAAATAATATGTTAATAAATTCATTGAACAAAACGTTAAGAAAATGTAAGTGATATCGCCTCGATTCAGATTTAACAATACATTCTATAGTGCTATTCCGATACAATATTTACAATCGGAATTCGGGGGTAGTAACACTATTATTGATCATGAAAATTTTAACAATATTTTATATGAACAGTTTTGATATATAACTACACCGACATTTGATAATTTGCATTTCCAAAAGGCGTATCATACGGATACATCAATTATAAATTTTACGTAAGAATAGACCATTGGTTATTTTGACGCCATATAGGCTAATCTAAAATAGCGATTGATCTAGTGTGTCTAAGTAAAATTTTTATGAGTGTATAACAGAAAAAAATAACATCTTAGAAAAACTTGCCTTTTTACATCCATCTCGCTAAAATAATTAATTAAATTAATGCAAAACAAAATATAACACCTTTAAAGCCAAATCCTTACTTTCCCCAAATATTTTAAAAATGTTTAACGTATAAAGTTTTATTATTATTCGTTATCCTGCAATTGAAAAGAAATGATCAATGCGAAGTGTGTAATTTTTCACGTCTAATAAAAAAATTTAAGATATTCATTTAATATGAAACACACTTGTATTACAGTCGATTAGTTAAATATTTTTTTCAGAGTGAAAAATTGGGCTTTAAAGTTTGGTGTAGACCTGTGGGAATATGGAAAAATGATGACTAGAATGAATGAATTGCAAAGGGTAAGTGTATCTAACAGAATTATCGAAAAATGGTTCTATAATCATAGTTTGAAAGTAGGTATATTATATATTATGTATATTATTATTATGTATATAATATATTTTGATAATTTATGATTTGTATATAACAGCTAAGGGAAACTAAATTATTATTAAGTATGTAACAAATAATAAAAGTGCGCCATAACAAGTTCAAATAGAATCTATTTATGTCACATTGTGTGTTAATAATAAATGAGAGGATAGTTGGAAATGCACATTAGTTTCAGGAAAGCAATTATTTCTTGAATATATGTTATACAAATATGAAAATGAAACGAAAAATAACTTGCTATATAAAGGGCGACATTGATATGGTGTCATAAACTTTTACAACACAAGGTAAAATTTTCGATAAATGAATTCTTAGCACACATCGCATTCAGATAATAGCTAAGCTTTTCAATATTTAATGAGAATTGTTGATGAAAATTTAAAAATTGGTAATGTTCTTATTGACGTTTTACATGCATGTTACTAATTTAACAAGAGTTTAAATTTTAGGTAAATCATCGGTTAAGTTGATACGTCCGAGATCGAAGTAAATATCGTTTGATATTAACTAATGTCATAAAGCTCGAAATGTAAATCTGAGAGTCCCTAGCTGTAGTTGTACATATATGTAATTATTCGAAGAAGTTTTTTAATATATGATTGGATCTTCCATATAAGTTAAGTTAAGAAAGTCACATGGACGTTCCTGCGCCCTAATCAACTGAAAAACGTCAATAGTCTGCATTTAATGCGCCTGCCTAGGTCCTTTTACCACGCTTTCGCGGTGGTTATTCCTAGGTCATGTGCTTGCTGTATTGCAATCTCTCTCTTTCTACCATGACCGTAGTAATACAGAGTACTACCGTTGAGTGAGAAAGTCACTCAACGGTGCTACTTACTAAGGCCTTAAAAATTTGGAAGCTATAAAGCCCAAGGCAAACGGTATTTCACAAAAATTATATATTATTCTCGTAACAGAATGTCTACGTCTTAATATCTATAGACATTCGTACTATACTGGATGACGTAATGGCTTTTTGTGTCGATATATCTAAATTTATCTTTGAAAAATTTATAACAATTTAATTATTGTCAAATATAAGGAAACTAGTCAACAAGGTTCAAATTAAGCAGATAAATATCGGTGCTCGGTATTGGTAAATTGCAAAAAATGATAAATCCTTCCGGATTACTCTGAGTAACAACCCTTCCATTGTTTTACATACATTCAGTCAAGATATGATGTCTTTAGATAAAAAAAATATTGAAATTTAGAAAAGAAAAACGACTCGACAAAAAACCTGAAGAACCAGTGAAATTTAGGTGTTCGTAATTTGATTCTTCTCTCTTTTTGAATCCTCAGCTGATTGTACTTAATTTCCGAATATCGAGGAATACGCCATGCAAACTAATCAATTTCAACAAAATATATTTCGAAGAGAAAAACTGATATTCGAACGATTCAAACGTGACATAACATACACTCGAAAAAATTATTACCTGTAAAATGGACATCCAATTCCATTCGATATGCGTTAAAAGTTTTGCTTTCTTTAAACAATAATTATTTGAACGTTTCAACTTACTATTTGAACCAGGTATTTCAAAATTTTTGAAATACCTGGTGCGTTTATATTTCAGTTTTTTCAATTATAAAATTATAAAACTGTCGGATAAAACTAGGTAGGATTTGTCAAAAATAAGTACTAGTCAAATTGATAGAACAAATGAATGACTATCGTCGAAAAGTTTATGTGATGCTATATCATTATTAGCAAAAATTATAAGTGATGATTTCGTTCTCAAAAAATCAGTTTTTCGGCTTTATCTGTTTAAATTGATGTTGAATTATTTTTCTAATTGCATATACTGATTCTACAGGATTTTTTACATTATGTTTGCACGCTGTTCCATTCATGTTTTAACAGTAAAGAAGTAACTCGCAACGAAAAGAGAATTATGGAGGATCACCTTGTACTATCTGTTCTAGAAATACCCGGAAACCATTTAGAGACAGCCTGTATAATAAATTTAATAATAAAATTGTTATGACATATATTATATTGCTTTACTAGTTTTTTTTTTAGAAATACCATGATGTGGATATAGACGTCGTGCGAAAAGATGGATTGATTCTCATTCGAGAAATGGCTACGGAGGTGAAGAATATGATGGATTTTAAAATGAGTGCAGTAATGGTTAGTATAAAAAATAACTATACCTAATATGTATATTAATGATGAAGACTACGCGAGAATGTTTCGTGTTCGATTTTATGCACGAAAAATTGCACCAGAACCGTTTCATACAATTTTCCATTTTCCGTATATCCAACGTTACATCAAGCTATATATTAAGTATAAAAACTTAATCTGACCATACCACGTACGTATCGTTCGCGTGGTATTGTAACAGTTTTTATCTCCACTCTTAAGATAATTGCTTTTATATTCACTTTTCACATAAACGTATCTCGAGAAACGTGTTCATCGAGTTCGCCTTTTCCATCTAAAGCGATGTTCTAGTATTATTAAAAATTTCAACGCGAGCCGACAACGCGTCTTATCCGAATCGTGAGCTACTCTATTCTGAAATAATGTTGCAGAGAATAATGGATTCTGCAGAACAAGCGGCTCTAACGCCACGAACCGACAATGGTCAACCGTTTAGATATTATAACGCCAAAAGACTGAACGCCTTCGGGCGCGATGGTAGACCAGCGGAGGGCACAAGGGAGATGATGCTAACTCCAAATCCGCATTTCGATCACTTACCTGTTAATACTAGTCTTAGTTCTGTACTTATGCCTACTAATATTAAAGAAAATGGTAAGTAATATCTGTAGTTTCCATAATACATGTTCAAAAAACCGGCCAGATCATTTTCCTTTATTTCTGAACGTTTTCTATTAAAAATCAACTTTCAAAATTTGGAGATTGTCGAGTTCATTAAATTGTAGATATCATCAAAGGACAAATAAATATGTTCGAGTTGGTGTCATTCATTCAAAATTTATTACACCCTTTATTTTAGATCCAGAAGTAATTAATGCAATTCAATGGTCTGAACACTTAGATCCATTGTTCATAAATAATTATGAAGGAGATCCTTCATTATCATGGCAATTTTTTGGAAGTTCAACAGGATTTTTAAGGAGATATCCAGGTAATATTAAATATCCAAGACTAGAATCCAAATGAGAATTATTATTATCATAATTGAGAGATAAGAATTATGATTAGATACTACATATTCCCAGATATTAGTAATTACTGGTTTATAAATTAAAAGAGTTATTTTGGCAAATATCGTCAAACCCATCAAGTGTTATTGTTAATTCGATTTCTAGTTAAAAAATCAAAAATAAAATGCTTTTAATTGGTGTATAGATTATTTTTACAAAGTATTATTTGTGACAAGTCGCTCAATCCGACAATGACGGTTTTCTCGCATTTCTTTCAATTACTGAAGAGATTTATAGAACCCTTACACGAAATATAAAATTTTAAATTAAAATAAAAGAAAAATGCGGACTTATTTTAACCAATTGCTTCACCGAAATATTAAAAAAAATGTTAATTTTTAAGAAATGGACATATCCATTTCCTTTGCGATTGAACGCAACTACCCCATTACTGTAAATATATATTTTTGCACACAAATCCTATTAATTCAAAGTTGATTAATTCCTCCAATATGGCGGCACCAATCCTAAATTGGATTAAAATTTAAGAATCAGTAGCCTCATCTGTCGGAAAAATTACAATTGAATTTATATTTGCACAGAAACATAACTTTTATTAAAAAAATATATAATTATAATTCAAATATACTTCAACTCATAAAAAACACATTTGCAGTAAACAATATTTTAAATATTTAAGAATAAATATTTATGAACTTGATAGAGAACATATGTATTATTAAGCTAAATAATTATCTACCTATGTCTGGAATTTCGCATCAAATTAAAACATGGTCTTAACGAATCATTTCATATGAATTTTTCACAATTACAAGTATTAAATGAAACTTCTGATTTGTTAAGGAATTGCCTGGCCACCAGAAGATATGTCGACTATATGGCAAAGACCAAGAAACAATCGCAACATTTACGACTTTAGGTCTTCCTCTTGGTATGTGGATGCTGCAACGTCACCGAAGGACATAGTGATACTTGTAGATAATTCAGGTTCAATGACAGGACACAGGGCTAATCTAGCCCGAGCAACTGTCGAGGCAATATTAGACACACTATCGGACAATGATTTTGTAAATGTATACAAATTTTCCGACACAACAGAAGAAACAGTTGCATGTTTCAAAGACCAGTTGGCTCAGGTGGGGAATTAAAAAAATTTGACAAAAAAATATTAACAGAAATTTTTAGGCAAATAGTGAAAATATTCGATACCTCAAAGACTCAATAATGAATATGAAGCCAGAAAACATTGCCAACTTTACCTCAGCTCTTGTAACAGGATTTGAAATTCTTCATAAGGTACTATTCTACTTAAAAATAACACGATTTATCCTCAATGTTTTTGTATTTCAGTACAATCGCACTGGTCAAGGTTGTCAGTGTAACCAAGCAATCATGCTTATAACTGATGGTCCTCCTTCAACATACAAAGAAATATTTAAAACTTACAACTTCCCTCACAGCCCAGTCAGATTTTTTACGTTCCTTATCGGAAAAGATGCTAGTAGTGCACGGGAAATGAACTGGATGGCTTGTGCAAACAAAGGTGAATTGTACCAATAAGTACCCCATTGAAACTAATAACATTCTACTGTGCAGGTTATTACTCACGAATTGAACACTATGAACAAATTAGGGACAATGTGTTACATTATATTGAAGTAATGGCTAGACCTATGGTGATGTATCAAAATGATCACCCAATCCATTGGACGCCTGCTTATGTTGGTGGACGGGTAAGATAAATATTAAAACAAAGTTACACCCAACAAATTCTAATTATAAATTAATCAGTTATTATAAGGGTGTAACTTTGATTGGGAGTCATACTTTTTATGGAGGTTACATTTAGACGTTTATAAACATATATCATATCCCATAGTGAAAGCTGTGTTTCGTAACTACTACATACTTGATTTTAAAAAATAATAATTTCATATCAGTATTCTGGGGAACATGTACCGTTACTCCTAAAAAAACTTACCAACTCCCAATGAAAGTTACACCCTGTGTATAATCAAGCATAAATTATTTAATTAATGTTTTTAGGCCGACAGCTTTTCTGACGATAAACATGGTCAGCTTATGACGACTGTCACCACACCTGTGTTTGATCGCCGAAACCATTCTGTAAGATATTAATCACTAAAATTTATATTTTATAAATTTTTTTTCTACCTTATTTGTAGGTACGAGTAGCCAATGTTTTAGGAGTAGTCGGTACAGATGTTTCAATCGATCAAATAAAGAAATTAGTTCCACCGTATAAGGTAAGTCTAAATAAAACAGGTTTTATTAAATTTTGTAAATATTTTCTTCCAGCTTGGGGTAAATGGATATTCGTTTATAGTAAATAATAATGGACATATTTTATATCACCCTGACTTACGACCATTGGTAATAAAAATATATATGCATTCATAAAAGAATTTACATTATAAGTTTTAGGAAAATAATGATCTCTACGAAGACACATTAGAGCCTCAGTATATTTCTGTTGATTTAAATGAGGTGGAGCTCGTCGAAAATGAAAATGGTCCACGAGAGAATCATACTGTTCTCCTCGATGTAAGTTTTCTTTCTTGAAAAAGTTTTAGAAGATAACACTTTATATATATTTTTTTCTAGCTGCGGCATGACATGATAGATCAAAAAGAAGGAGAAACAGAAATGAGCGTAAAAGTCCACTATGACAATATGGTAAAATAAAAATAAAGAGATAGTAATATTTTATTTTAAACTTGCTCTTTTAGCGTCGTGTGACAACCAGAAGGAATAAATATTTTTACAATCCAATAGAAGGTACTCCATTTTCATTAGGACTGGCTATTCCGGAAGGATACGGAATGTATGAATTATTAGCTGAACAAGAAATTAAACATAGCCAGAAAAATGGTATGTATCGATAATATTTAATCACATCTAGAATTTTTTTTTTTTTTTTTTTTTAGTTACCGATTATTTCAAAGGAGACAATTGGAGAGTTCATCCAGATTGGTAATAATATTAATTGTTGTGTCATGGCACAAAATTGAAATATGTACTCAAAGAGACAGTTTTTAGGGTATACTGCGAATATACAAGTGGTTCTTCTGGCGAGCAGTGGTTTAAGACTGCGGAAGAACGTGTTTTACATTTCCTGTCGAGAAGTCGAAGACCAGGTTGGAAATGGATGTCACTAAGGCCAAGATCGCCACTGCAACGTGAACATTATCACATATCTACAAAGCAGGACAAAGATGCTTATTATTGTTAAGTAATATATAAGCTACGTTAAACAAACCACCTGATACAATAATATTGAAGGAAATTAATTTTATGATTTTTCATTTTTAGGCGATAAAACTTTGATACAGTCATTAGTTTTAGATGCCATGGTAACTGAAGGTTTAGAAAAGCATCCGTTTAGGCCTCGCCTTGAAGATAAGCAGTAAGTGTTTTTTCCAGAATAGAGTAGCATGAAATTTATTTATAATTTATTTTTGATGCACATTATTATTCCAAATAATTTTACTAATTAATTCTTTGCACATTAGCCCTATTGGCACACTTTTGGTACAATTACAAAGGTAAAGAATTTTTCTTGAGAAAGAAATATTTTTATAGATTTAAGGTCATCAATTTTGTTAAATACTAGTTATTATACTGTAAAATGTTTAAGATTATAAGTCCACTTTTCATAAATTTTGTATTTGCATGTCCTTTAATTATCCTAGACTACAAATTGAATTAAGACCATTCTCATTTTAATAAAAAGGATTTTTTCTTAAAAGTTTTACAAAAACTAAAAAAAACTATTTGTCATTGAAAACATTAGTTTTCTTCATCTTAAATCAATTTACAAAAATGGCAATAAAAAATATGAAAACCTGTACTCAATTTGATAAAGCTCTGTTTTTTATGTGGTATTTGTTTGTTTGTGATACACGATAAAAAATTTGGCTATATTTTAAAATAATATTTAAGCTTCCCTGGATAATGTGAGTATGTAATTTGTATGCAACTCGATATAAGTATAACAATTATGGAATTAAATTTAGATTATCAAACGTGTCGAGATGTGTACTGAATTTTTTTAAACAACTCGAAGATCACTCAAGTAATCATTTTGTTTTATTGTTTACCATTGTAAGCAAAGTGTTTATGTACTGGGTGACCCAGAACTGATGATTGGCCACCATTATGGGAAGAAAAAATTTACACAAAATTAATTAAAATATGTCAGTTATGAATATAGACACTTAATCTGTCTCCATGTATTTCTATGGCAACGCTGACAAAATCAGTACAGACCTGATCTGCTAGTGTTTAATTTTGCTGAACATGTCTTGTCTTTTGAAAGGGAAGTATGGAATTTTTTTTTAATAAATGTGAAAAAAACGATCTTTCATAAGATGTAAACAAATATTTATGAAATAATTTTGATGATGCAACAGCCCTTTGGGTGGTATACTTACCAAAATGGAATTTTAAATCAAATACTTTTACCGTCATGCTATAATGCTACCCCATTATGGCTTCTTATTTGTCCTTTCCAATATCCAAAATGGCCTCCAATCGTCAGTTCTGGGTAAACTATTATTTTAATTATAATAATTAAAATTTTTTAGTATTATATACTGATACTTTCTCCGTTAAATTTTGAAAAAAATTTGAGTAATCCACATGTAGATTAGAAAATATATTAAAATATACATATATAATATCAAATCTTTCACAAAGTTAAAGTTCTAAGAAAGCTTTTTTTAGTTATCAAAACGGCACATTTTGTTATGTGAAATGAAGATCGTTTTTAAAAAAATCAAATTGATTTTTTTTATTCAGCGTTCCAGCTTCTGATTGAAAACTAATTAAATAAAATTTTGCAGTCAAGGATACGAAATTTTTGGCCTAACTTTGTCATTTGTGGCAACGAGAAGTGGTCTTCTTCGATGGACTAATTTAACTAACATAGAAACCAAAGAACCGTAAGAATGTTCAATTTCAAGGTATTATTCAATGTGACATGTTTATTTTAGTCACTTCAGTGAAAATAACGTTCATGCAATGGATGAAACTTGGTATAAAAGAGCAGTTGACCAACATTCAATTGAGCCAGAAAGTTTTGTTTTTTCTGTTCCATTCGATGTTGGTTCTTACGGTAAACCACTTATAACAGCAACGCATGCTGTGTTTGTTGAACACAAAGGCCATAGGGCCCCAGCCGCTGTGGTCGGCTTACAATATCAACATTCAACATTGGCGTCCCATTTTCTTAATATTACATCAAAGGTAACGTTTGCTTGTACATAGAAATATGTATTATATTTGGAAAAATCTCACAAAAAAAAATATTATTTTAGTGTAGTGCAGGGTCATCATCATGTAGCAAAACCTGTGCTAGTGACAAACTAGACTGTTATGTACTTGATAATAATGGTTTTATCATTATATCTGAAAATAATGAACATACTGGTAGATTTTTTGGGCAAATAGATGGGACCATAATGGATTCCCTTGTACAGGACAAGATTTATAAAAAAGTTGCGGTGTACGACTATCAAGGTGTTTGCTCAAATAATAAATTTCAGTTTAGTGGAAAAGCAAATAAAATACAGGTAAATACAGGCTTTACAATGGGTGTCCCAGAAATATGTGACAAAATTTTAACGACCAAAGCGTCGATGTGTACAAATATTTTATGGAATGACTAATTATATTAAAATTTCAGTACTTATTTTTGGGACACCTTGTACATATCTTTTATTATAGTTTTTATATTTTTTTTCATTGCGTGGCAAATATTAAAATATTTTTCAGATATTCGACCCAGTCAAGCTGCTTGTTACTTTCTTAATGAAAAGTTTTCTAATATTGATTGCAGAATTAAAAAATGCCTACGGTACAGCCTTAGCATATACGCAAGAAGAAGGTAATAGTACCATATACACATTCTTTATTTTCTACTCCTCTACTTAAAATTTTAGACGATATGCTTGATAAATACTCAGAATATGAACTAGAACAATATCCTACAGGAGAAGATATAATAGATGAGCAAGATCCAATAATTTCTCCACCTTCGAATACTTATTCCCCTTCTTTTATACCCCCATACGAGTCTGATCCTATGGAAGGAGTAGATTTGGGACAGTTTGGCATTAGACCATGTGATCGTAAAGTAGATTTGTATATCCTACAACCAGATAGACTGAATACTAGTGGTCAAAGCAATCCTTTAAAAGGAAAATTAACAAACTGTCATGTAACTGGATGTGAAAGGTAATACGACAATACTCTCAAAGAAAATACTACAAACAATACTCGTTAATTCCAGACCGTTTAGTGTGCAAAAAATACCACACAGTAATTTAATTCTCCTCGTTGTGGATACCATGTGCCCATGTGGAAGTAAACAATTAAGTATTATACCGCAGGAAGTTAATTACGAATCTAAAAATGGTGGATGTCTTCATAAACCAAAAGACAGTCTTTACAGGAGACGTCCTCCAAAATGTATAAATTATCATCCTGAGGTATTTATTACACTAATATAAATTATAGAGAACAATGTCCTCTTGATATTATTTTAACTTAATGTTGTTTTTTGCAGGAGACGGAGATTCACATCTGTGGATCGGCATCGAAAATGCCTATTATCACTATAGCGTTGCTATTGGGCATTGGAAATTGCCTTCTTGCTTTTCTATCGTGATTAAATCCGTATCTTAAATTAGGTCCTTAATAATGAATTTCAACTATAAAATGGTTGGCACTATCTTTCTTATCATTTTACAGTTAAAAAAATTATAAATGTAATATGAATTAATTTGCAAATAGTATAGTAGGTACAGTTTTTATAATAACAAAGTCGAATAAAAAAATAGTTAAATTTTTTTATATAATTTATAAAAGATAGAAGTAATTTTTGGTGTATTTGTACATATCTAATGTTGTAAAAAAATGGTGATTTTTCAAAAAGATGTATTTTTGAAAAAGCACCCAATTTTTTTTTAAATCAAACATTTATATATATAAAACTAAAGACAATAATTCAGTTTTGTAGCCATTTCTAATTTTTTGTGAATGTGTGTATATATTTTTTAGATAAATTGAAATTTATACTCTATTAGCTTCTTGATCCAAATTTGTTTATAGCTTATTCTTTAATGTACATGTATCATTGCCTCACATGGAAGTGATTAATTTTGAAAAAATACAGAAAATTTACGTATTCATCTCACTTGACTGTACTTAAAGGAAATAATAACACTTAAAATTATCTAAGATGTTCGGAACTATTATTTAACTTTTTTGCTTGATTTTTCACTGTATATATAAACACATATCAAGCTGTGCAGTATTAACAAACCGTGAATAGAACATATATATATATATATTACATTGTAATGCATATTGAAATAATACAATTGTCAGCTCTATATGTATGTATTACTGACATCAAGGTTTGATAATACCTCTATTTAAATATTCAACTGTATAGTGGAAAATTAAATAAACAGTAGGGGAGTGTATTATTGGGTCCAATCTGGTATTTTGAGAACCTCTCAAGTTTTCAAATGATCTTTTTTAACAACTTTAAAGTTGTATTAAAAAAGAGCATCTAAGAAAGTCCTCACTAAAAGTTCGGAAGTTAATGACAACAGCGTAATTATGTAACTTATAATTATGTATAAGATAAATTAGTTTATTTAATTTATTCCACTGTGCATTTTCTAAACGAATAAATGATTCATCTTTTTCTTTTCTATTCATCGATTTACAATTCATATAAAATTGTAATTACGTGACAATACTTTGATAAAACTATGAATACTGACATACAGGTTAGGAATAGTTTCATAATCTGCTGTTGTAAATATAAAGTACACCCATAATATTAATTTAACATTTTTATTATTAATTTGTAACTTGTTTTAAGGATGACTGATAAATGGTATTAGTAAAGTAGGAATAAGGGAATTTATCGGTTGTATCCCTTTTACGCTCCTCCCTTATTTTTAAGTGATACTTCCAACTTCTCTAACGGAAATATTTCTTTAAATTGTGGAGTATCACAAGCTCAATGTTCGAGAGGATTTGGTGTTCTTTTATTAGGGAGAAAGTGTAAAAGGCAAATGAATACTTTTATGATAAGCAATTTTTTCAAAGCTTTTATATGGCTTTTGTTTATTTCTTTTTTTAATGAAATAATTATAAATAGATCATTAGAACATATACATATCTAGTTTATTTGGATTTCTTACTATCTCAAATATCGCATTTTATAAAAGTAACAACGTTAAACCTGATAATTTAAGATATTATTTTTTTAATGAAACACAAATGATTTTGTATTTTCTTAGACATAATATTATAAGACATAGACTGGTGCGAAAATGAATGATAAATTAGAAGGTTAGTTTAGTGTGTATATTTTGATTTAGAACAAACTGCGCTATACTAATTACTATACATAATTATTTCATAAAATTAACTACGCTATACTAAAACTGAGTCTTCCATTTAAAACAAATAATAATTGTAAGTTAATAATGTATTCAATTTTAAGCAAAATGTGTAGTACAGTTATTATGAATAATACATTTATTTGTCAACTTGTTGTTTGTCTGTTGTATGTAAAATTCATACTAGACTTTACTATATCTTAAATAATGATATGCGTAGTTTTAATTAAAATTATAATATATTTATCAGATATTGTTTTATTTAATATATATCAAGTTTAATATGCAAAGTACAGTTACAAGCTTTATTTTACTTATAACTAGTAACGATGTATATTACTGTGTCATTTTATAAAAGGCAAAATATTACACATAAAAATTTAATGGATCTGAAACAAATATCTCGACTACAATTAATAATTCGTATTTGTATTACCTTTTTTTTCTATAATACCTTATTATCAATATTCATAACACACATGGAAATCGTGATGTAATCTAAATTATGTTAACTAAAAAAACAATACTTATTGTATGTACGCATAATTGAAAAAAAAAATATATGTATGTACTTACATTTTTCCAGAAGATGCAGTTTACAAAATCTTCTACTGACTTATTTCTGAAAAAATAATATATAATTAGTGGAATTTATTAAATTCAAACAAGAGAATGTTTTCTTTATTTACAGTTTTATACAGTCACATTAAGAGCCTTTTGCGTCCCGAGAGTCTGTCAAAATATATTATAACTATACTCTCCTATTCTACATGAAATTTTAACTACGATTTTTGTTTTCTCAATTTTGTCATTTCGAACAATTTCAACTCGACAAGTTCACTCCCACTTTTATTTTAATTTTTCACATTTCATCAAATCCTTTGTTTTGTTCTTTCCTTTTCATTGTTTTTTCCAAATTTTCAAACTGTATTATATGCTACCTATTTAATATCCTGAACGTATAATGAATCCACATCGATATTACTTTCTAAATTAGATGCAAACTAACATGATGAATAGTTATAGCACTTATAGTAAATATGGAATTAAATGATCTTTGGAATAATAAATGCATTTTGTTTATTTGATATCCAATTCTGAAGCTAACTAAATTTTAGGCCTAATAATGAACGTAAATAAAAAATAGAATTTATATAAACTAGTAGCGGGATTATATCGAGTACTACCTTTTATTTAATACAATTTTCCGAATAAATTACTGATCTAGAAACTGTCAATTTTTATACACACAATGCAATGGAACTAACATTACAAGTATAGTTTATGTAGTTACAAAATTGTGATGATGGCAAATATGTTTCTTGGATATAAGATATATTTACAGCTACGTTTTCTTTTAACAATATCATGAGCCATTTAAAATTTACCAATGAATACAATATTCCCAAATATGACTAATATACAACTAAACTGAAAATTAAATTGGAAAATGTATTAAAACAATACATTTAAATGAAAAAAACATTAATAGTAACAAATTAGCTTAACAATTTCCTTGCCTTGTTTAAATAAATGTGGTGTAGATGATTACTACAACAAAACAACGATTCATCTAGGTAGTAGGTACACCTAACTGCATCTATTCAATAAATTAAAAACTAGAAATGCACAAAATACACTAATACAAGAAAATTAAAAATGATTTCGAATTTTGGGGTTATTTCTTTTTATGCCAAAAAAACAGGTTTTGATAAAGTGGTTACCTTAATTGGTGACAATTTTAAGTAATGACATTTATTAAATGAGAAATGTCAAAAGAATCAAGGGTAATTCGTAATTGGTTAATTTAACGTTTTCAGTATTTGAGTATTAATAACAATTTTTTTATCGAATACATTATGGAAATATAATATTATTGTCTAACTTTTAATGTTTTTATGAAAAATTTTAGTGTTTCCAAATGTTTAAACACCATTAGTTACCATTTAAGGTACCATTACGACAATGAATAAATATGATGATATTTGCTGGTATCACGGTAAATTATCTCGAGAAGAAGCAGAAAATATTTTGGTTCGAGGTAAATAAAGTAAATAGAATGGTGTCTAAGAAAATTATAATTATTCAATTTTTAGATGATAAAAAGGATGGCCTATTTCTTGTCCGTGAAAGTAATTCATCAACAGGTGATTATGTTTTATCTGTCTATTACAATGAGCAAATTAGTCATTTCCAAATTAGACGACACAGAGAAGATGCATTTTTTTCTATAGGTAAATTTCTATTCCAGTAAATTTTTAATAACTTTTCAATGAGTTGATTTAGATACGCTAATCATTTACTTTGTTTAACTTAGACGAATATTTGAAGTTTCATGGATTAGAAGTTTTAATAGAGCATTACACAGATAATCCAAATCTGCTATGTGAAGGATTAGTTTTAACTGACTATGTGAAAGGATATCCTCCACCCCATGATTCTAGAAGACACGGTCGTACAAACTTATTACATCGTGCCACAAATGAAGGGAGTTACAAAGTAGTTACCGAACTGTTAAAAACTGGATATCCTCATGAAGCAAAAAATCAGGATGGTCAGACAGCAGTCCACTTGGCGAGCATATCGGGAAAGAATGAAATATTAAGGAAACTTATCCAGTCGGGCGCTAGTGTAAATTTAAGAGATTCTGCAGGTTTTACTCCTCTTCAAGTAAGCTTCCTCCATATCCATTACTTAATAAAATATAATAATTTCATTTTTAGTATGCTTGTCAATTTAATCATCCTTCAACTGTCAGACTCTTAGTACAAATAGGTGGTGCGAATGTTCAAGCTAGAAATACCGAAAGTGGAGCAGTGCCATTACACGAAGCTGCAAGTAGAGGTCATAAAGAAGTAATTAATGAATTATTAAGTTTAAACGCACCCGTAAGACCAAGGAACAAAGATAACCAAACTCCAGCTCAATTGGCTAGATTGAAAAATCATATCGAATGTGCAGAAATATTAGGTAAAATAATTCAGCTGTTATTATTACTGTGTTCTTTCACTGTGCGTGGAATTTATGGGTTTGAAACCTCAGACAGCTAAAGGCTAATAAATGCTCGCATTTTCTAACCCATGAACATGGTATTTGTATATTCTGCAAATTATTTTTTCACAAAAATTTTATATTTTAGAAAATTATAAATCTCCAACTACAAAAACAAAGCGTACTGAATGGTATCACGGCACATTAGACAGGCAAGAAGCTGAATCTATAATTAAAAAATGTAGTACACAGAGTGGTACATATTTGATAAGATTTAGTGATCGCAATGGAGAACATGTCTTAACATTATTATATGAAGATGGATTTTATAATTACATAATACGTAATAAGGTATAGTAATATATTCATAAACTAGCCAATTAAAAATAACTGCGTTTCAATTTCCATTGTGGAGCCACCCTTATAACTCCCATATTTGAAGTTGAAATGTTTTCGTATTTCAGCCCGAATTAATTACCTGTAAACCAGTTATTCTGATTTAACTAAATTTGGTTTTAGTCAAAGACGTCCGGCTTTAAAATTAAAATACTTTTTCAAAAAATATATATTAGTTTTTCTAATTTCTAATTTAGGGCCCCGAGAAACATCTTTTTACCAAACTTGAGGGGTAAACCGCGGTTATAATTTTGTACACCGGAGGGAATTCCCCTAGTTTCCTACATGAATTCCTCCGACTTCCCTTTGAATTCCTTTGAATTCCTCGGATTTCCCCTCGAATTCTTCGGACATCCCCATGAATTCTTCAGACTTCCTCTTGAAAACAACCGATATACAGGCTGTCTCCTAAAAAACGGCGCAAGCCATAACTCCGTCATTTATAGTCTGAATTTAAAAAACAAAAAATTATATGAAATGGCTCTAAGTACACTATAGAGTGAGACTATTGGTATTTATTATTAATATTTTTTGAAAAGCGATAGTCAACTTTTTCTGTTTCAAACGGCAATATAGGTTTTTTAAATTTATTATTGTGCAGATTTCTATTCTGAATTCAACGATGTATATAAACATGTATTACAGAAAAAGCATGAAAATATTAGTCAATACCTCATTATTAGCGCGTGGTCGCTTAATTGACAACAAATATATTTTGACTAATCACGTATGCCTGGAAAACAAAAAATAATACAACAAAGCAAGTAAATGTCTTTTTAGCGTTCGTGTCCTAGTTTTTTACACATTATACTCTTTCTGTGTCATTTACAGTAGGTGATTTATTGAAATAAGCTCAACAGTGCTAAATATGAGTAATAATAATCAATTGACGGACACGATTCACGTATAAAATCTTCGTAGACCAGAAATTCGTCGACTGTCCCTTTTGTCATTTATCTGAATATAATTAAAAACCTAATGAATTTTTCAAAATTTTTAACAACTATTTATCAAATGTAAGATATAAATCTCGTATAGTTCGCCCAGCAGAAATATTATGCAGTGTGTTTTCTATAAATAACGATCACGTTGTAGGTAATTAATGAAGATAGTGATGATGACTAATAAGTGATTTTTTTATGAATATCGGTTTAATTATTACCGAGAAAAGATCATCCCATTTCCTTTTAAACCTTTCATGGCCAATATTGAAAAACTAAAAATGTAATACAATTTAAAAGCGTCAACAAGCCATATGCTATTTGCTTTGCTGTATTATTTTTTGTTCTCCATGGCACAGATGATTAGTTAAAATACATTTGTCATGAATTAGTGGCCGGGCGTCGAATGCGGTATCGACTAATATTATCTCGTCTTTTCTGTAATAAATGCTCTACAAAAGTCAAGTTCATATGCATCGTTGGATTCAGAAAATAAATCTGCACAATAATAAATAACAAAAAAACTATATTGCCATTTGAAAAAAAAAAAAATAGTAAATAAGCTCTAATAGGCTCCCTCTAGTGTATTTAGAGCCATTTCATTTCATTTTTTGTTTTTTAAATCAGACTAAATAACTGAGTTATGACTTGCGGCGTTTTTTAGTAGACAGCCTGTATAAGAGTGACTCCAAGAAACGTGAAGCAGTGTATGTGTGTTATTCTAGGACGGTTATTTATTTATTGATGATGGTCCGTATTTAGAATCCTTAGAGCATATTGTTGCACATTATAGTTTAATGCCAGATGGACTTCCTACAGTATTACAATTTCCTGTGCCACCAAGACCTAAACCGCCAGTTCCGCAGGTAAATAATAAAAATAAAATAAAAAAGTTATAAATAAAAGTTTATTCTTATTCCAGTTTTCTACAATGCCTAGACCTAGAAAAAAGTACCAATTGAAAACTTCGACAAAAGAAGAGTCCTTACCAGATGACTCACAATTAAATAAATTTTATCCTAGTCAGTTTCAAAATATATCTTTCACAGGTGATTTCAATACTATCAATAATAACAATAATACAGATAACGAAGATGATTACATACCCTCATCACGGTTACATATAGGAAATCTAATAGGTGAAGGAGAGTTTGCCGCTGTTTATGAAGGTACTTACACCAGGAAGAATGGAGAGTTAGTAAAAGTGGCCATCAAAACATTGCGTAATGAACAAATAGAAACAAATCGAGGTGCCTTTTTATGCGAAGCTCAAGTTATGATGAAACTGAACCACCACTGTGTCGTTAAACTTATTGGTCTCTCTAGCGGGCCTTCTTTATTAATGATACAAGAATTGGTGCCTCAGGGATCTATTCTACAGTACATTGAAATTAACAAGGACCGAATCAATCCGAATTATGAGTTTAAAATATGGGCAGGACAAATAGCGTGTGGTAAGGAATTATGTTATAAGGAGGCCGGTGAAATGAATACGTTGGGATTAATATGAGTAAATTTTAGAGATAACACCAGAGAATTGCCTTTAAAAGTTGGACGTATATTTTGCTCTGTTTATATATTGAGCCTATATACGGGGTGTAACTTTGAATGGGGGTTCAGATTTATAAAGAGGCTATCTTTGTTGTTTAGAAATACATGTCATAACTTCTGGTAAATTGATAAACTGAAAACTGAAAAAACATAATAAACTGAAGCCGTCACATATTTGGACATTCTCGTTTTGTCGAGTTAACGTTGGCCGTTTGTGTTTAGCCCACCTACAGCCCTGTTACATCTACGAAAAAAATATTACAAATCTGTCAGATTAGTATTTTTCTTTTATTTTTTATTTTATAAAGCAGCAAATAATTATTTTAGCACATGAATTAGTTTTACTTACAGTTAGTAACATATGCCTATCCACATACATAGTATTTATTAGTGTTTAATAAAAAATGTAAAAATTATTTATTTTTCAGAAACACTTGAAATTTCTTTTAATGTTTGGCGCTTCGTCCGCATTGTCATAAAAAAAGTATGGTAATTTTAAAATAACATATCGCAAAGTCTGTTTTTATAAAATTATCTATTGCAATTTTCCTAGCATTAGCTAGGAAAAAATAATAATTTCAAGTTAGTATTCTATGGAACATGTACACACACCCCTTAAAAACTGACCTCCACGTAACTACAACCTGTATAAGAGTATATTTTTCATTAGCGATGGCAGTCACATACCAAAATGACCATAGCCGGTGACTGTAAGTGACAGGTCACATTCAAAAATAACCGTCGATTATTTCAATAATTTGTTAAAATTATTATTTACAGTTGTCAATAATTATTTTTCTCCCTTAAATGTGATGATTTTTCTATATATTTTAAAATGTTTGAAATAATGGTGGTACTAGATATGCGCAATGTAATTTGTATTATTGTATTATAAATTATAAAATACAAAAAACATTTTGCAAATCTGTAATAAACATGGTAAAAGACCATTTCAAATAAAAATAAATTTTGAAATGACCTGTCACTATATTTCATTAATCCCTGTATTCATAGATCCGTGTAAGTAGAAGTTTGAAAAATACTGAATTTTTAAATTTACAAGCACACTGGACCTAAGCGGTAAGTAAATATTTTTGTCTAAATATTTAACCCTTTCACTTTGGCTGATGATAATATCCTGATTATTGTACCATTGGACTGTAGTTATACCACTGTAGGCTCTGCATGTTTTTACATTTCCCATACTGTACAGATAAATCGTAAAGTAGGACAATGATTATTTATTTTAAATCCCGTTTTTATATATACAAATCATATAATAATAAGCATCTTAAATGAATTAAAATACATATCATTCTGTCATCCATATTTTCGGTTATACGGGTCGCCTTCAGTCGCACCTAATCTGGATAATTCAGTTTTTACTGTATATGTATATGCAGTGTGTCCCCGAATGAACATAACTATACTTGTAATTTTCCTTATTTCGCATTTTAAGGGAAAAAGTCATTCTTCATAAAAAGTTTTGCTTATCGTGAAAAGTCATTAGCTATACTCAGACTTTCAAAATAACATACAGGGTGGTTAGCAAATAAGGAAACGTGAATTTATGCCAAGAGTGAAGTATTAGTTTTTTGAGAGGAATTTAAAAATGTTAACTGAAAGAATTTTATAAATTCAACGAAAGCGCATAATTTATTGAATAAAACTATTCTGTTGTCCTCCTACTGTTACACATTTTTCAATATTTTTTCAAAATTTTTCAACTTTGAGATACGACGTTAAAATTTCATATCTGGACTACTATTAACATTAGAAACAACTTCTTTCACTAACATTTTTAAATTCCTTTCAAAAAACTAATACTTTACTCTTGGCATAAATTCATGTTTTCTTATTTGCTAACCATCCTATATGTTATTTTGAAAGTCCGAGTATGGCTAATAACTTTTCACGATAAGCAAAAGTTTTTATGAAGAATGACATTTTCGCTTAAAATGTGAAATAAAGAAAATTACAAGTATAGTTAGGTCCATTCAGGGACACACTGTATATGTATATGTTTATGGCTCCCGCATTAAATGTTTATAGCAGTAAAGCTGCTAACTATTGCCCCCAAAAGTTTTCTATATTTTAAGGCAGGTTTAATGCAGGTATCCATCTGTTTCTTATAATATACCTTTTTCCTGCACGATATATATACAGGGTGTTTGTAAAAGTTGGTACAAAATTTAAGGGGGTGAAAGTAGCCAAAAATAGTAAAAAAAGGTCCCATAAACATTGGCCCTCAGGAGCACCGTTATTGAGATATGGCCCTCCGAAGAGGTTATCATTTGGATATTTTTTTAAATAACTTTCTGATTAAGAAAATTGTAGGTAATAATTATACCATAAGGGTTTTTAACTACCATAAGTTTCATCAAAATCGGTTATAAATAAGGCTAGTTTTCTAACTACCTTTAACAGAAATTTTTCGAATTTTTTTTATTCGTTTGAATTATAAAGTAAATAATATTATTTTTTAATGAATTGGACTCTTTTGAAGAAAAAATGTCTACTTATTTTTTCGAATTCTGTGTAAATGGCTCAGAACAGTAACTTTTTTTAACATTTTCACATAGTAGGCATCTTTTATAGTGACAGTTTCATTGTAATGATACTAATGATTGTCACTTTTGCGTGGTATGATTTAAATTCTTATGTTTCTTTATTTTCTTAGTTGTGATCTTTGTGGTCAACTGTGCATTTCATTTGATTTTTTTACAACCATGAACCATCATGCTTTTACTAACCATGAATATACCGATATATTTATGGTTTCTGTAATGGAAATAGTCTGGCGGCTCAAAATGAGTATCGGCATACTCTACTATCGACCAATGTTTATAGGAACTTTTTTTACTATTTTTGGCTCTACTTGCACCCCCTTAAATTTCGTACCAACTTTTCCAAACACCCTGTATATATATGCAATATTTTGCGATGAAAGAATTAATTGCCTTTGTTGTTTCTTTTAAGGTATGCAATATTTGGAAGAAAACAGATTTGTTCATAGAGATTTAGCAGCAAGGAACATTTTATTAGCGAGTCAAGTTCAGGCCAAAATTAGTGATTTTGGTCTATCTAGAGCTCTGGGAACCGATCATGAATATTATCGGTAAGTGCTCCTTAAAATTCCAAACGTTTCATATTTATAGAAACTTAACATTTCAATCTCAACATTTTTATCACTAATATTTCTGTTTTTTTCATAAATAAACTGTATATTTTGTATGAATAAAGTTCATAAAATTTGAAAATATATTAAATTGATAATTAGTTATTGTATTATAGTGCGTTAAATGGAGGAAAATGGCCATTGAAATGGTATGCGCCAGAATCTTTCAATTATGGACAATTCTCACATAAAAGTGATGTTTGGAGTTTTGGTGTTACTATATGGGAAATGTATTCATTTGGAGAAACACCTTATGATGAAATGAAAGGTTGCGAGGTAAATACTTTAAACCATATTTCATGTTTAAAATTTATACCATGTCAAATAAAGTTAATATCTGTTCCAATGAATTGTGTTCTGATTGCAGGCCATAAAATTAATTGAAGAAGGCAAACGTCTTGAACAACCCAACAAATGCCCAGATCACATTTATGAAATTATGAAACGCTGTTGGATGTATGATAAAGAGAAACGGCCAAGTTTTAATGAGCTAGTAGATCTTTTTAACTCCGATCTGGAATATATAAATATAAAGGAATTATTGCCAAAAACGAATCTCGCATAAGACTTATCATTTTTTGTGCCAAATCAAGTTCCATTAGTTAAAATTATGTATTGTGTATTGGACATGCCAATAATTTTGTAGAAATAAGAATTTTATGTAAGAAATTTAGATAGCGTTACTTTTTAAATAGATTGAAATGTGGAAATATCGTACCAAATTACAAAGATCAAAACTCATCTGTTTCATAAAGTTTTCTCATTTACATTATGTCTTATGATAACGGTATAGATTATTCATATTATAATATGAAATAGACACGATATCTCCTAAATGTTTGTAATTATTTATTTTTAACGAAATTTGATAATGCATTTTTATACAAAGTTATATAATATTTTATATATTTTTTTATTCAATTTGTTATATCCATATAATTGTGCAATATTTTCCAATTTATCATACACGTTATACAATTTATAAAGTTTAAGAAATACATATAAAAAAAAATATATATATATATGTTTTCATTGCTGTCGTATTTCACTTACCCTTCCAGGTAAAGGATAACTCCTGAGAAATAATTACTAGAGGAAATGAGAGACATTGTAATAATCAGAAATATATTTATTGTAAAAGAGCATTGGTAACATAACTATGGGACTATTTTGAACTTAGTTCAACAGCTTTTAAAGTCCTACGAGATCAGTTCTTTGTAAAAATACAATCCTACTTACAAAATGCATTTATATAAAAACATTTCACGGGATACATGTCTAACAAAAATATATAAAATAAAAAAGAAAAACTATTCTGATGAAATAAAATAAAAATAATGTGACACAGCCTCGTTTACTCTTAGATAAAACTCAAGATCGAGCTACTCCATGGAGACTTGAGGCACAAGACATCCCAATTTAGAAAGTCTCATTAATTCCTCATCATAGAGGTAGTGTCTACAAACATTTGAATAATATACATTATCATGCTTAAGGAACTGAGATGCCACATCAACTATGTTAATGTTCAGCGGGGAAAAATTTAGCAACATATCCTCGTCTTCGTTTTTGCAATCTTCTTCATCAATCTCTTCTATAACCAAGTCGAAACAAGACTCGGGTATATCTTCATTCTGAAAAGGCAATAAATAATTATTGAGAAGTATACCTAATTATCTTCGATATGAATTTTTTAATAACAAATCGAGACAAGTTTTGTCAGAAAAATAAAATTTCTTCAATGTATTATTAAAAACCACCCACCAATCCCTGTTCCATTAATACTAGGAAAATTAGTAGCAAATACAGATATTCAACACCTGCTACTGTGTTTACACCTCTTTCTTTGGTAAATAACTGAACCTCGATCTCTTTCAGTTTGTCTGCATTTCCATCTAACACTGCAGTAATCACTTGCACAAGTGCCATACACCTAGAAAATACTTCTTATTTCCTTCATTTAAAATGCTTTAAAAACTTACATGACAGTTCTCTCAAACTTGCTCATGACACTAACAAATTCTGGTTGCCAGATGTTTATTAAGTAATTTAAAGCACTTCCTCCGTCAGGTCCAGGAATGCTGGATAAAAAGTTAGAGGTATTTCCTGGACGGCACATTAAAATGTATATAAAAATCATCCACAATCCACGTAGTTTATCGAAAGGCTTATTAGTTTGTATGGCACTCAAAACAGACTTCAAAATAGACTCAAAATTTGGTTCAATTACTGTAGGCAATGTGTTAATACTAACAACACACAATTTTGACAGTTGTAGACCTGACAGAGGTATGACTTTTCCGATACAGCCAAAAATAATTTTTGGAATATATTCACATAGAGGAACCTTTGAATTCCTTAAATAGTTTATTTGTGACCCCATTCTCAATAGTAGCGTTGTAATAAAGTTGGCAGCTGCCTGTAATAAAATTTAATCTTTAAATATGTATGCCTCATGTGTCATAGAAATTCACAACACTATTGTGTCATCCAAAACTGCCTAGCAAGATGTGTTCTAATTTGTGAATGATATTTTGGAAAACAAAGCAATTTTATAAATAAATTCAGAATTATCACAGTACATCAATATTTTACAAAATTTAATAATTTAAATTAATTAAAAAAATTTTTAAACTTACCTCATTCATGTTACGATCTCCGTTGTGCTCATCATCAAGCATGAGGTGTGCAGCCCCAGAAAATCCTTGAACTATTAAGGCCTCACTAATAGGTGGTGGTGTGTGAACGGCAATTGTACTTAGAAATTCTAAAGCTTTTTCTGCGGTATCTTTTCGACCTAACAGCTGCTCCGGCAAATCCCCATGCAAAAGTTTGCAAAGAAAAGGAACTATAGCGTGGTGCAGAGCTTCTTGTAAATTATCTTTGGTAGCAATATTACCTAGTATGAAGTTTACTTCTTGCATAACATTATTATTGAATAAATGATTGTGGATCGTGTTAATAAGTGTATCTTGCAGATTGTGCATGTACGTAAATACACATTGCTCATGGTGCTAAAAAATTTTAAAAACATTACAATTCGCCTTTGACTATATGTTATTTCTTTATCACAAATTTAATTACAGGGTGTAATTTTAAGTAGGGATCAGTTTTTTTGGGTTGTCGTTATAAAAAAAGTTTTCACGACGGAATTTAAGAAAAAAAGCTTATATGTTCCTGAAGGTTAAAAGTAGCCTATGTATGCCCCTGTTCACAATTACACCCTGTATATTCCCTCTATCCACTTACCTTAACGAAAATGCCTAAAGCGTTTAAGCATGAGGTAGGATTATTCATTTTTTGTATCATAGTCAAAAGGCACTCTAATAATTCACTGGAAAGACTTTTTAATATATATTGGTTTTCCGTAGGCATCAGTTTGTTGTCATAAGTTATCATGTGATTTCTAAGAGCCCTAAAAACAAAATTAAGAAAAATCAAATTAAGAACTATATAAAAAATAAATGTAATAGTTACTCTGTAGAAGGCACATATAAATAGCTAGATTCGCCCTTCAAATTTTGAATGATCGCTTTTAAATGTACGGATAATAAATTTGAACTCAAAAGACGACTAAATACGCCACCAAGCCACAACAATCGTCCAATTACTAGTGAGTTTGTCCTCATTGATGTTTGTATTTGGACCGTCCAATGATCCAAATAAAATCCATATGGGAAAAGAGTTTCTATAGACGTATCATACTGAATAGTTTTACTATTAATAAATCCCAAACCGAACATCAAAGATTCGGTTACTCTTGCTTGATACACTTCCTGCTGCCTATTTGCCAGCAACATCTGCACTTCTTCCATCATGTTGTGAAATACAGTATTTATACTTTTGTAAAATATTTCTGGTCCTTTCTTTCTGCGGGTCACACGGAATTTAATATGCTAAAAAAATATTATCTGTTTATAAATATATAACGAGAAATAAGAATATAAGACAATGTGTTCCCACACACTTAAAGCAATTGTCATAAAATGTAAATTTTATTTTATCGATTACATAATTTTTATTCTTTTATATGTTTTTTCATGAAACTAATAATACCAATACCTTTAAAATTTCGGCTGCATTTGTCCTCAATGGAAAAATTTGAGACTTCAATTCATTTTCAAGAAATAACTCTTCCTCCATTTCATCGTAGCAGCACATAAATATAAACAGACAGTGCAACAAATTGTCTAAATCTTCTAACAATAATTCGAAATACATTGAAAATACCATACTTTTGATAAGTTTAATAATCAGAGTAATCAAATCGATAAAATTTGTAGATTCGTCATCTATTTCTTCAGAACAGTCTTTTGGAATAGAACTTGCCTGCTTTATAATCTCTTTGAATTGATCTCGGCAACTAGTCATAAGTTGTCCAATAGCAGGTAGTGAATTAGTAATAATATGACAATGTTTAGTAGGTCCTAATATCTCGAATTTGGTAATATATTTTATAATTTCACTTTTTAATTTAAAATCAGAATTGGCATTGTACGGTTCGCTCAGCCTATTGTAAAATTCAATTCCAAGACGGGATAATGCATTCTCCTGAACCTCAGAGTTCAAACAGTAGCAAATAACATAGTACAATGGTTGCAGTGTAAGTGATCGTGTTTCTGAAAAAGTATTCTGAAAAATAGTACATTAAAAAAGAATACCATTGCGACACATTTGATTTCCCTACCCTTTGTAATACGTTTAGTAATAGTTCGAAATATTCCGGTGAACATTTAAATGGTGGTATATAATTGTCACAGCTCATGCATTGCTTCAAAAAGAATACTATATTATGGATATGTTCTTCATTATTATCTGATTTCAACATTGGGTAAATCCTATGATCGATAATTGCCCAACCACCTTTATAAACTATATACGACAATGTTTCAGCGATCATTGTTTTAATGCTTACGAAGTTTAGTCTCAATAAATCTATTAAACTTCCACATAATCTATACAGCGAGAGTGGATTTTCTAGCACTTCATTTTGCCTATTTCCAGTGTAGATATCATGGAAGTAGTTCTTTAGAAAAACTGATGCCATGTGTTTCTCTGCTAGTGCTTCTTCACTGCTACCAATAATTTCAACTAAGATGAATGGGTAATCTATAAGTCAAATTAATTAATTATTTTACAAAATTAACGTAAACAACAAATCTTACCGTCTACCATTTCTAGAGCTTTGATTCTTTCCTCAGCAAGTCTCTGTATTTCTGAATCTGCCTGAAGGGCACAACTTAAAACGCAAGTTACGGCATCGTAAAAAGGTCTATTTTCCGTTGCCATCTACAAAACAGACATCACATTTATTAGACGTTCTCTTATTACCTAGTTGCCTATTAGTAGTAACTATTACTAGCAGGCTAGTTACCTTGCTTCACATTTAGTATAAATAACACAGGTACGTATGGTCCAATCTGTTATATTGATATAACACTACTTTTTACCAAAAAAAATAAAATACCATGTAAGCTTCTAAATTAAGTATACGAATAAAATTTCTGTTAACCGTTTCAAAAGCAGATTATCATGTAAATAAATACACTTATCTTCTTCTTCTTCACCATCTGACGCTTTGCCTTGCATTAGAAACCAATTTCTGTCTTTTTCGTATTTCCTTTTGGGATACAAACCCTAGATGGCGCAGTCCGCCGTGATATTTACAAATTTTGTTTTTTAGCAGTGTGCAACCTTCAACCAGTGTGAAGTAATTGAAAAATTTATTTGTCGATCCTTTAGAACTTAGAAACAAAAAGGTGCACAACAATGGGAACTAATTAGTGCTGTATTTAGGGCGGCAAAATTTTCAAGATAGTGAATTATTTCATAAAACGTTCCAGTACATTATTTAGATATTCCTTTAACCCATAGGCACAACTCGTTTATATTTTAATAAATACATCTTGTAAAAGCGCGAATTTTTAAAAAATTTGTTGGACAAACATTGCTTCCGACAAATACAGTTAAAATTTTTGCCATTTCTCTTTCCAGAACACTACATATACTGTGAATATATTTTCAATAAAACATTTACAAATAATATTTGAGGGTATCATTAAAACACAACTGAATTAATACACATTTATTTCTCCCTTAGGAAATAAAAATCCACAAACCATAAAATTATAGTGATTACAAGAAATGAATAATTTTATTATACAACTTACAGTTTTGGATATTACGAGTAGAAAATAATGTCAAAGTAACTTATAAGATAAAAAAACTTCATTAAGAACTATTTGAAACATACATTAATGCCACCTTTATAATGCAAGACCCATTAGAATGGAAAGCAAAAAATACTTGCAATATAAAGTCATCAACGTCAGGAAACTATAAATTTAATTTATTAATGATAAATATATAACTGAGTAAAATTTTAAAACTAAGCGAAAATTAAAAACTACAACTGATAAATCCTCCGATGGCCCAGTGACGGCTCAGAAAAATCAACAAAGGAAAAAAACGTTGATTTTTAATTTTCGCTCGTTTCAAGATGTGGCCTTGACATACCCAAAAATAACACAGATACCCAAATAGATAGTTATGAGCAAGCTCAACCAAGTGTTAAGCAAGCAGTATAGTTTTCATTTTTTATTTTAATTTTTTTTTGTCTTATGACAAGTTTACAATTTTTATATTTTTTATTATTCCTCTCATCCCTGTGTTTGGGCACATCAAGGCCGTGGTTTTAATTTATTCCTTCTTTATACTTGCAGCTTGCTTAGCTTGGTGAGCTTGTAACACAGCCACAGCCTCTTCAACCTTATTTTTAAGTGATTCGTTGTGTTCCAACATATGTAACAATTCCGTGTTGTCAATTTCCAGCAGCATGCCGGTAATTTTGCCAGCCAAATCGGCATACATACGTTGAATAAGTGGGAACAATCTTTCGCCCAACATTTGCTTCTGTTCTTGTGGTGGAGCTGCAGCTAACATACTTGCTGTTAATGGTTCCTGTCCTTGGATGTGTACAGCTTGCTGGACAGGAGCTGCGGTTCCCTGCAGTCCCAAACCCTGAGGTGGATTTCTCATGTTAGAGGTGTATTTAAAGTTAGGGGTACGATTTCCAGCAGTGGTAACTACACTTTGTCCTGGAAGCGAACGACCTTGTATATTTGGCGGCTGTTGTCCTGTGATCGGCCTTGGCACACTAATATTGCTGCGCATGCCTGTCGACTGATTTGGTGGCCTTGCAGCAGCTCTGTACGTATTAGGCATGCCAGTGTAAGCAGTCGCTCCTCCTTGGCCAGACGGTCTAACAGGAGTTTGAGCTGGCCACCTTGGACTGGTTCTAATTTGAGTCATCTGTGCCGGTCCATAGAAACGCTGAGTTGGCGGGATAGTTGGTACGAAATATCCTCCTGAAGCTCCTGGCTGGATAAATTGACCCATTTGGTGCATACGCATATTAGCCATTCTCTGCATATACTGGGAGGTTAAATGAGCCTTACGATCCTCCTTACGTTGAGCTAATGCTACATACAGTGGTTTCGAGCCAACAATACGTCCATTCATTTCTGTCACAGCTTTGGTTGCTTCCTCAGGTGAAGAAAAGCACACAAATCCAAATCCTTTGCTTCTACCTTCTTCCATCATTACTTTAGCAGAAGTTATTGTGCCGAATGGTGAAAATTCCTTGCGAAGACGTTCATCATCAATTGTATCATCCAAATTTTTGACATACAAATTTACACCTTGATAACGATTAAGTCTTTCCATTTTTAATGCTTCAAAACGGCGTTTCAATTCCTGTTGACGTTCCGCTTTCTTCTGGGCCCGTCCAACATACAGCGGTTTACCTTCTACGATTTCTTTACCTGGAAAAAAAAATCCAATTCGCCAATCTTTTTTTTATATTTTCAATGTTACAATTACTATGTAATGTATGTAATCTAAAATATATTTCTTACCATTTAGAGCTTCCACTGCAGTTTCTGCAGCTTCTGGGCTCTCAAAAGCAACAAAACCAAATCCTTTTGATTTCCCATCATCTTTGCTCATAATCTTGTAACTAGTAATTTTACCATACTTCTCAAACATGACACGAAGTTGTTCTTCGGAAAGATCTTCACCGAAATTCTTTACATACACATTGGTAAACAATTTGGCCTTCTCCCCCAATTCCTTTTCCCTTTCTTTACGTGGAATAAAGCGGCCTACGTAAACTTTCTTTCCATTAAGCAACATACCGTTTACTTTTTCAATAGATTTATTGGCAGCTTCCTCAGTTTCAAAATGAACAAATCCATAACCTTTACTAGTTCCATTTTCATCTTGGGCTACTTTACAACTAAGTATATTTCCGAAAGCGGAAAATGTATCATACATCGCCTTGTTATCAATGGAACGGTCAAGATTCTTAATGAACACGTTACCGACACCAGATTTTCTTAGAGACGGATCTCGTTGAGACCACATAATTCTAATAGGCCTTCCCTTGACTAAATCAAAATTCATCGTATCTAACGCACGTTCAGCTAAAAAGTAAACAAATTTTACAAATAAACATAATTTGTTGATGACATACGAAATAAATAAATAAAAAAATAGGTAGCTTAATCGAATTACAAAATAAATTAAAATAATCTAGATTGTTCTGACAGAAAAGAATTAAACAATGTTTGGATTAGTAGTGACATTAAAGTAAAACCAACACGGTTAAATGCAGGTCAAGGATGATTCATACTTAAGAAATCATTGAATGTAATGAATTCCATATGGATAGGCAAAAGTGTCGTTTTAAAGACTTACCATCAGCAGGCTGTTGAAAATTAACATAGGCATAGCCCAGAGATCTACGTGTTATCAAATCTCTGCACACGCGGATGGAAAGCACAGGTCCAGCAGTGGAAAATTTCTCAAACAATATTGCCTCGGTAATATCTGAGTGTAGATCCCCAACGTACAGAGACGCCATAGGGTAATTTGGGGCGCCTGGATTCATTTTGTATAGCTACACTACAAATACACAGATTTATCAAATGCTACGCTCCCTTAACATATGAAACGAAAAAAATAATTTATCGTTTATTTTCCTTTTTTTCCACTGTTTTTTCGATTTTTTTTATATTTTTGGGAAGTTTTTATATTTTTTTTGTATTTTTAAGTAAATTATTTCACTTTTTTTTAGGTGGGTTGTGAAACGGGCACAACACCACACGCTCACACACTAATGTTTAACAAAATGGAGCACCGGAAAGGCTTGCACATAGGCTTATATACTAACAGGTTATGACGTCTTCTACGAGGTATAAGTTTACCGCGAAATTTTGAAATTAAACATATATTTTTTAAGTTTTTTGTAGGTTTACTGGCTCTATATGAAAATATCAATAATTTAAATTGAACTACTAATTAATATTATTGAAATAGACATTATTATCTCATGGTAAATTTTAAAATTACATTAAACGATTAGAGCAGTTAGGCAATTTGTCGCAATATGTAAAAACAATTTTGACTGATTTTGACCACAATAACCTGATTCTGTGATATTTTGGTTTGATATTAATATTTTTTGAAATTTAACGAATTATTTGAACCTCTCAAATTTATTTCTACTGTGAAAATAAATTAAACAGTAAACTGAACTCCAAATTAAATATATAATAATTATAATACATATACAGAAGAAACATTATATTCTTTTTATGTGCCGTATATATGTAGGTACCTTATTTTGCAAAAAAGTAAATCATATCGGAAAGAAATAACTCAAAAGAGAGTGTATTATTTTTTATGATGAACATGTTCGATTTTTTTAGGTTCTTCTAGGGTTTCTGCACAACCTACGTGCGTACGTGCAATATCACTAATATTTTCTTTAATATGTGTATAAAGGAATATGATTTGTCCTTGGTTGTACAATTACTAATCAAGTAGGTCTACTGATTTTTCCGTTTTAATTTCTAGGGACTCTAGTTTTAATTGATACTTAGCGCCCTCTTGCGGCTAGCTAGAAAAAGCTAGAGAATGACGTCATGCAATAGAGTTTCATTAGCAATAATAATTCTTGTTCTTGATAATATGGCGCGCTCTATTTGGGTTGTCAATGTCGTTTACTAGTACAATGTCATAAATAACCTGATTAAAAATTGTTTTGAACTGATGTGTAGTGCAATATGATGTGTCTTATGTAAACAATGTTCGTAAGATTAAAGATATGGTGTGTTCCATAATATTCTCTGTATTATTTTGTGTGACAATAACAACAGTGGGAGGCCTGCAATGGCCGGAACAGATATCGATATTAATTCCCTGTTGGCACAAAGAGATGCCATAATTCGGGAACAACGGGATCAAATTATTCGGCTTAAACGGGAATTAGATGGAGTTGCCAGCGAAAGAGACCTCCTGCTGTGTGAAAACAGCAATCTTCGATTCGAATTGGAAATGGTAGAACTGAAAAGATTGCAAGATGAAAGGTAAAACTTGTTATTCATTCCTGTAGTTTCTACCATATATTTTTAAATGAAACAATCTTAAAATGCTGAGTCAATGCATAAATTGATAAATTATTGGATTGCAAACAGATGGTCCATTCTTCATTACTCTTTGTGTAGGTACTCTAACTGGTGGATTAGGTTATGTATTTATGTGATGCACAATTAAAAGAACACAACGACTATTAAAATTTCAATAATTGCAATTTATTATTGTAAGAATCAAACACCGTCTCCTTTCTTCCTGTATTAATAAAAAATTTTTCTAGATTTTGCCATTATCAAAGGTCAAATGTTTACTTTGTAAAATATTGATAAAAACTATGGTGTCATCATTTGCTATTTGCTTTATTACTTATTTATTATAAACAAATCTAAGCGGTACAAGATTGGCGAATTTGCCAAAATAATCTAAATTTGATTGTAAACCCACAAGATAAAAAAGATGTGTCGAATATTTTTATACTCCAATTCATGTGTTGGAATTGTATCAATGTGTTGGATACATTTTTATTATAATGTTTTATTTATTAAATTCATCTTTGCGTTTTTACCTATTTATGGTTAAATTGTCTCCTATTTTTCATACATTAGTAAAAAACTTTTAATCATTTACTTACATATTTTATCTATTTTATCGTGAAATTAACTGATAAAATTTATTAACAATGCTTCAAGGAAATTTTACAAATACAAGGGAATTATGTTTATTGTTCGTTATTTACTCAATGTAGGTACATAATTTGTGAAGTTTCGTCAATGGTCATATATTTTTGGGACATTTTACAAAAATGTTTTTTGTAAGTGTAAGAATACTTAATTATCTTAAATGGGTACATACTGTAATTTGTCAGCTTTTAAAATAGAAAAATTGCTTTATGCGTGAGTTTGAATAAATTTTAGATTTGCTCTTCGGACGACAATGAATACTAAAGTACATAGTACTACCACAATGTGGTATCTACTACTGACAGTGGCGCAGTACGAAATACATAGGCAAACATGGAGGATGCTATATGTGTATTTTATTTTCTTTTTTCCATATAAACTTAAAAGTGTAGTATCAGTAAGGTTTTTTTCATTTTGTCAAATCTTTTGCCCATAAAACTACATTTTCAAACAATTGTATCTAGTATTGCAAAAACTAGTTTTTATTTAATACCGGGAAGCTATTAGGTACATTATTTGGAGTAATTTTGTGTACAAGCTTGAGTAATATTTGTTTAATATTGAATACTATTTAAGTAACATTTCGGTAATATTTAAGTACATATTAATACAATAATTATTTGTCACAAGTACGATGCATTTGTGTCTGAAACGGACGCTACTTTTTCTTCTATTATTTCTGAGTAATACTCGAGTAATTAATTATGAAAACGAGTATCAATGAAGAGTCCGATTTATGAAAGCACCATTTGGCAAATACCAAACAAAACCAATAGGCAGTGGTTGGACTAATAATGTATCTATTTATATTATAGCTCATAATTTTCAGATGAGTAGCATGACATGTAGTAAAAGATTACAGTCTACGGTATTTCTGAAAATTGTGTTTTTCACATGTTTGCGATCTTATAAAACCAAGTTACTTGGAATGATGTTTTAGTGTCAAGGCTTGAACAACCGATGCCGTGGAATATTAAACTTTCATTCTATGCGAAATAATTCAAAACAGTTATATTACTGATGTAAACAGTATCTACTCCTGCTTCCTTTAATATATATTATATATATGAACGCTATAATACTTATAAAAACTTGCTCTAGGTTTCATGTATCCAGACAAGTAATAATGACATTATGGCATTATAGTTTGCAGTGGACGTAACAACTGTTGGTTATGTGACAGTTGATAAGTCATTAACCTGTTAATGCAGTTTGGCAGCGCGCTGCGGAAATTATATTATTACTTCATAGAAAGTGTCATGTATTCTAAAGTGTGGTGTTAGCCGAACGAATGGAATGGCGTATTGATTTCTAAATAAGGGAAAGTGAACGGATATCCTGAGGCTAGTCAACACTGTCGTTCAAGTGACGTGTGATGTCCACTGTTCTTTCTTGCGACGTCCACTGTCCAGCACCGAGTACCGAGACCGAGTCTTGTCGCGGCAATCGCTTCATTCGTTTCACCTACATCGGGCACACTTTAATTCTGTTGTGGACTAAACCTTGGAAATTACGTGTCGAGTTCGCGTCATCGTCTCCTACGCCCGAAATGAACTTCTGGCTATGTTACGGAAATCCAGTTGCTGTTTATGTTTAGTATTTGAGCGGTACCAGGTTGCGAAGGCGTCGGCGCCGTCTTTCGTATTGCTCGGTACTGCAAGCACCAGTGCCTCCCGGGTCCGACCACCGACTATTATATGTTCGTTTTACATTATTTTTGAATCATGTAACTCCAAGGACTATTCTGTGACGTCACTCACTCGCCTTCTAACTGTTTTACATTCTGTTTTGTTGAGAGTGGAATAAGTCAGCTGACATTTACAGTGCTTGGAAACTTTCTAGTTACCGTAGTATCTATCGACAGGCACTTGTCGATTTTCTGGGATGGAAATAGGGAAGTGTAGTGCAAAGTGCAACTTCCGATTTTGCTCCAGCGTTACACCTGCCGCAGCTGCAAGGATGTTGCCGTGAATCGCGATTGTCAATAGTGCCAGTGTTTATTCGTAGCCCGCGATTTCCGTGCTCCAGTGCAGCTTTCCATAAAATTGCATTAACTAGACATTTAATAGAAAGTATTATCACCCATTACTGCTCCGTCATACTGCGTTGAAACTTTTACTGTCAGTGCTATGAATATGTGTTAATGTGGTAAATAGTGCGGTTCTCACGGAGAAAATGAGGGGCAATATCCCTTCGTCGTCGAAACCAATTCCAGCTTACCGTTACATGCCTAATAGGCATTCCAGCAGCAGCCCTGCTCGACCAGGACGTGGACAATCTGTTACGTCCATGAACGACGTGTGCGATAGGACAGTTGTTAGGATTCGGAGGTCCGGAGTCCAACAGGAAAGGATTAGGGTGGTATGCACCACTCGAAGACAGCACGTCAGTCGTCTGGTTACCGTATCAGATGTCTGTCACACGTTACCGCCTTTACGAAAACACGTTACAATTATCAGGTTAGATATCAAAGTTAGTTTGTACGAATAACGTTAAACTCTGGCCCTGTGCAACTAAATAGGAAGAAACAGGAACCAGCTAGAAATAAAAAAAACTAATTATTACCAAATTATCATCATTACTCATTTTTTGTATTTAACCTTCATAAATAGGCACATCAATTTAGAAAGGTACTGAAACTTTTCTGTAGGTATATATAATATTATATACATTATACATTATATACATTATATATGTATAATAGTGAATATAAGACATATTTTGAGTTTCAAAATATGTCAATATTCTGAAAATGTTCATAATGCCTGAATAGTGATTTTAAGTTAAGCATATACACATGTTTTTTCCGTCTCTGATGGAAGATATAATACATTATAAAGTAATGCCTACCTGCACGATGCATTAAGTACCTACAGAAAATTGTATCTATCAAACGTTTTCATGATTAATACACGATTCCATTTCTCGAAACCCAGCTCGAAACAAATATAAATTGTCGTGACCGATAGTTTTGCATATCCTATTACATTTTTACACGCTATTCAATCTACACTATAAAATTTTTAATTGGCATTTTGACACCAATAAGGAACATGAAAGAAATACGAACAATAGAGTGGCTTGTCTTAAAACTAGAATTTTTTTTTTATAATAATAAAATCGAGCTTACAACCTATATATAAAACGAAACGAGCCATTTTTATAAAACATGGTTATAGAAACTATATAACCACAAACTAAACTACTTAGATATGTAGATACAAAGTAATGAAACTAGTTTTTAGATTATGTAATACGCAAGCTATAATTTTTATTTTAGGCTGATAGATAGCAAATATTAATAACGAGGGTTCATTTATTCTTATTAAAAATTATACGTTTAATTTTTACTCCTCAGTATATGTATTGTCGCGAAAATGAATTTTTGTTGTTAATGATTGTGATTTTTTATTTAAAAAATTGTAATATTTCCTTGTTTATAATTTACATCCTGCCACCATATTCCATTGCTGAACACGGGTTTCACATTTTGCATAAAGTAGCGGAAGGATGTAACCCATTTACAGGTCATTACTGTCAGTCAATTTAGGCCTCAAGAAGGCTAATATTTACCACCCTCCACCGGTAATCATCAGTGTAAAATCTATCGACTTAAGGATATTTTACTGTGTATGCTATAACTTGGCTTATGTACCGTTGAGTTTTTACTGCCATTTAAACATGTATAACACGTAGATATATACCAATCATTGCCATTGCAATGCTAATGTCTCTTAAACCTAGTTTCACTTAACTGTTGTTGCTGTTGTTAAAATACATTCTGTATTCGTTGTCTCTGCGTCCAGTAAGTACATGATAATAGTGTTAACCTTATTTTCAAATAGGGGCGATGACTAATAATATTTGTAATTAAGGTAATCATGGGAATATATCGAAGTAGAATGTGAGAATATTGACTTAATTATTGTCAGATTTATATAAAAAAATTATTTGGAAGGAACGTGAATAAATGCACAGGATTATTGAATATAAAAAGTCTTAGTATTAAGTCTTTGAATAACTCGCCATCATAAGATAAACATTTTTTGTTTAAGTTGTACAATCAATATAAAATTTTGTAGAAATTATATATTTTGTCGCGTGTGTATTTTATTTTGTAACTAAAAATATAATTTTATTTTTATTATAATTCATTTACAGCATGCATTATCAAATTAAGATCCAAGTTAATGTACTTATATATAATTAGAAAAAGTTAGTCATTACCCACATTTCCCTTACTGGATAAAAGGATAACAGATTTTCGAGACAAATAAGTTTCAAATAAGTCGTTAAATTGTACTGTGTTCTGTTTTCTTCTAAGTTTATTAAAGCAGAAAGTCAAAGTGGAAAATAATTCAAATATTCCTTACATGGCATTAAGCATTCGAATTATACAGCGAGTTTTGAAAAAAAGGTAGAAATAAAAAAATAAGATGATTTTTTCTGTTGTTTCTTCTTTTAGGTACAGAGCGTTAAAGATTTTTTTTTAAATGAAATTTTAGCCATAAGGGTGGCTAAAAATGAATACATCACAATGCTTTCTTGGATGAAAATAAACCGATTGGGATCAAGATACGTTAGCTATAATTCTGTTCTTTAATAAGTTGTCGGCCATCATTTTTTTTTTGTAATTTTTTCCATTTTAACTAATACTAACATACTAAGGAAACGTGTTCTAAATCGGTTTATTTTCATCCAAAGAAGCTATCGTTTAAGTTTGACTTATTCGTTTCCGGACACCTTGTATATTAAGGAATATAAGTTGGTTGACTTTGTGGCGGTCAATTGCGTATTTCTCAAAAATGGGGCGTTCTCAGCTATTTTAACAAGAGTACCTTTTTTGTTCAAACTGAACTTTTTACGTTATGTGACACTGTGAACAACCTAAGCGAAAGGTCTTAGTTAGCTACGCTTAGAAGATGGTCAAAGACTAATAACAATGACATATTTGGCACCCCAAAAACTTGTACCAATTTTTTTTGCATTAATTGTTTTTTGGAAAACATGACCAAAATTAGATTTAAAACGATCATCTTTGACGTCCTGCATCTAAAAAACATATTACAATAGGCAAATAATAATNGGACTCTTTAACTATCATATAGAATCGTTATAATATTAATTTTCTTTTTTTTAATAATTTTTGGAGCGATTTTAAAAATTCGAAAAATTTTAACTTTATAAACAAATACTTTCGTGAAGCCGTTTTGCGGGTTGGAATATATACCAAAGTACTAAAAAATAGTTCTCGGAAAGACGCTTAACTTGAAAAAAAGAACGTTCAAATCGGTCACATAAGTTCCGAGATATCGAGTGTCAAAATCAACAAGCGTTAGCTGCAAAACTATGTAATTATATTAATAATATATCTACTCCTCATTCTAACTACGAGAATTAGCCCATAAGTAGGTCTATGTTCTGTAAGAATTTTTTTTTATTTTTGATGTTCTGTTGTCCCGTGAATTTATGATATTCTTTTCGAGAGACCCTGTGTATTTGATATTTCTAGATAAAAAAGATTAATACATAATCCAGATAAAAGGTAATCATTTAATAGATAGCTATTTGCAAAAATAACTTTGTATATAGTATTTGTTTTCTCATCTATAAATAATATAATTTATTTTAAAGGTATTGCGATTACCTTTAAAAATAATTAATAAATTAAATACAAAAAATATTAAGCGTATCTGTGTATGGCACAATTTTATGATGTGTCATGCTTTGCAAATTAACATAGTGAAACGAAACTGTAGTTCCTTTTATACAACAAAACACCGAAAATAAATATCCAACACTAAATATATTATAAATAAATTACCCCATTTTTTTACCTTTTTCAACGTCAACGTCATGGAAACGGATAGGATTACATTTAATTATGTATTTAGTAAATGAATTAAAAGTAAAACCTAAATTCTGTTTGGCAGCCAGTTTTGATAAATTGTAAAATTCTTTATCGGTGTTATATTTTTAACCCATATATAGAAAGTTAATCTTTTAGATCCATTGGTATTTGAAATGACCTTCCAAAGAATGTGTTCTGTGGCAAGTAGGTTTGGGAGTGGCAAGTTGTAGCCCGGATCTATCTAATGTTGAAATTGAATTCATAGGTAACCAGACATTTCTTAAGAATGTTCGATTGTCTCTAATTGTCATTCAGATCATAAATTTGATTAATGTTGGTAGAAAGTATAAATATGCATATTTCCCTTTGGTATTATGTTGGGTACATTTACTGAAGTTGTTTAGTTATTTAGATAATTTTGTCGCAGCTGTTGCTTTAGTTAAGTTCTGAATGAAACCAGAACATATATCCCTGACCAATTGTTTATTTAGCTAAATGAAACATGGTTTCCAACTAAAAAATAAACATTCAAATTGTATCTTTTCCTGTAGACATGTAAACAATATTCGTATTTGCTACTGTTGTGCGGTAAACAGCAGTATTATAGAATTATATAAACTGGCACACATACAATGATCAAAACAAGTTCTCATAATATTATTTAATTATCTTATTATAATTACATAATCTGCCACGAGTTGAGAAACCATAAGATGACTTTTGTTATTTTAACCCGCAGGTGAAATGTTGCCAAAATATTAGACACCTGTTTTATATTCCAATGAAAAGTCGAAAGATGGACATTGGACTTTAAAATTAAAAAAAAAATGTTATTCATGTTATATTATCATATTTCTCAGATATATAGATGTATAGATTTAATCAATAATGAATAATATTAAAACCCATCGACTTGCGTTTATAATTTCACGGAAAACAACCTGAACTACAACTATTAAAACCACATTGTTTATATTTTCATCTTTGAAGGTGATTCCTTTTATAATGTTTGTTTTGTTGGAACAATTAACACTTAAACCGTAATATTACAGTGTTTTGCTTGAAAGGTTACTTTTATAATTTACATTAATTATTAATTAGTTCTAAAGCTTGATATTTACCACTTTAGTTCAAATGTGAGCGTCGTAAATCGTCTTTCATGCACGTGGCATAGAAAGATCGGACCCTTCCGAATCCGTAAGCTTGGGCAGGGGACCATTCCATTCTGAACTTGACTAAAGCAGGTGGTTGCTACCTAATCACATGTGTGGAGTGTGGCTGCTTGAACTAACGAACAGCAGATGTTTCTCTAGAAATCATCCAGGCCAACTTTTGGATATTAAATTAATTATCCATCTTCTATCCCTCGTCTTCCTTTCATATCTTCTGCAACTATTGCAATGCCATTACCATTATATACTCTTTGTTTTTACTTTTTATATGGTGACCGATTTTGTAGTGTAGTTATTTTATGACGTTTTTAATATTATTATCTTATTAAAAAATGACGATACTCTAACGTTCCTCTTCTCTTTTGTTGTCCTAGCTAGTTGCTAGTTGTACGTACGTATTTAATTGTTATCTGTTTAATTTTATAGTACAACTAGC